ACAGAGGTCAGAAGAGGGCTTCGGATTCCCCTGGAACTGGAGTTAAGAACAGTTCATAGCTGCCATGTGGGTGCTGGGAATGGAACCCTGGTCCTCTGCAAGAGCAGTCAGTGCTCATAACTGCTGAGCCATCTCTCCAGCCCCCTATTATTTTTATTTTATGAATGTATTGCCTGCATGTATGTAAGTGCATCTGTGTTGTACAATACCCATGAAGTCAGAAGAGGATGTTGGATTCCCTGAAACCGGAGTTAAAAGGACAGTTGTTAGCTGCCATGTGGGTGCTGAGAACTGAACCTGGGTCCTCTGCAAGAGCAGCCAGTGCTCTTAACCACTGAGCCATCTCTCCAGTCCCTCTTCTTGTTTTTAAAAAAATTATGTTTTAAAAAATGTATTTACTCTGGGGGGTTGGAGAGACAGCGCAGTGGTTAAGAACACTGACTGTTGGGGCTGGAGAGATGGCTCAGTGGTTAGGAACACTGACTGTTCTTGCAGAAGACCCAGGTTCGAATCCCAGCACCCACATAGCAGCTAACAACTGTCCGTAACTCCAGTTCCAGGGCATCTGACAGCTCTTCTGTCCTCTGCGGGCATTGAACGACATGGGTGCACTTACCTACATGCAGGCAATACATGCATACACATAAAACAAAAATAATAAAATATTTTTAAAAATGTATTTACTCTGTATATGTGCACACATGCATGCCACAGTGCATGTGTGTAGATCAGAGGGTACCATGCAGGAGTTGATTCTCCCCTTCCACCATATGGGTCCTGTGGATGGAACTCAGGTCATCAAGCTTGGTGGCTGGTGATTTTACCCTCTGACCAATATCCCTTGCCCTAAGAAGGCTTTCTTGACTACCTTTCTTTTTGAGGGGTGGGGAGACAGACGTTGGGGCACAGGGTTTTATTATGTAGTCTAGGCTGGCCTCAAATCCTCCTGCCTCAGCCTCCCCAGTACTGAGATTCCAGATGTGCACCATGTCCCTGGCTTCAACCATCTTCCTTGTTTCATTTTCTTGCAGTGTTGGGAACCGAACTTGGGACCTTATGCATGCTAGCCAAAGAAACACTGTACCACTGAGTTATTTTTCCAGTTGTGATCACCTTTCTTAATAATGCTATCTCTCCCCCTGCCAATTACCTTTTAGTCTCTCTTTTATTTTGCAATGCCATCCAGATCAAATACTACTTGCAGGCTCACAGTCAAGGGCTAGATATCACTCTCATCAACACAATGTTGCTCTAATTTCTCAAGCTAATCTCACAATTGCTTAAAAGTCTGTTGTAGTCTGAATCTCTAACCTCCACTGTGACAGTATTTGGAGACAGAGCCTTTGCAAAAGTAGCTAAGGTTAAATGAGGTTCAATAAGCTCAGTGTTCAGTCCAATAAGCTTAGTGTTCTTGGGGCCGGCAAGATAGCCCAGTGGGTAAAGGCACTTGCTACCACGCCTGTTGTCTTGAGTTCAATCCTAGGATCCAAATGGTGGAAGGAGAGATTGCTTCAAGTTATCCTCTGACCTCCACATGTCCCACTGTGACATGCAAGGAAGCACACACAAAATAAATAAAAATGTAATAATTTTTAAAAATTAGGTTTCTTAAAGGAAGCAACATGAAAAAGCTATGTTATCAGTCATAGTTGTAGCAAGTGTCTGAAGTCAAATGGTCAGAATCTCAGTGGTTCAGAGTCCTCCTGATTATTGCATCATTAGCACATTTCATTATTTGTTTGTTAAATCTCTGCCTCCAGCCAGCGAAGAACCAGGGAACTTCATTTTCTTTACACTTTATGCCCAAAACTGTTGGGTGACTCAAAGCAAAGTTTAGGTGGAATTCAAACTCAGATCTATAGCCTCTGCCTCCTCTATAGTAGGCGTCTGTGAGAGGCAGTCAACAGCTATTTATTAACTGAAATTCTCTATCTTTCCAAGTTCATAAGGTCCAAATATCACTCCAGTATTCCAGTTTGTTCAGTGCTGTGATGGAACACACTGTATTTTACTACTAGCCTATAAAGGGGGTGGTAATGGTGATGAAGTACTACTGTCTCATGAGTTATGAAGATTCAGTTCCCCTAAAGTTTAAGGGGGTTGGGGGAGTGGTCAGCTGAGGTAAAAAGGAAGGCATGTAAATCTCCCCATATAATCAACATATAAGCCTCATAGAACATGAGCATTTGATTTGTTGATGAAACTGTGTTGGTGTGAATGCTTAATCATATCCTAGGCCTAACACCCAAACACCCAGTGAGCTCACACCATGATCCCACACTCTACTTTTCCAGCCTTAGTTTCTGAGACAGTGTGTGCCCTCTGGTCAGCAAGCTAAGCTCCAGCCACAATCTGCAAACTTAACCACCTCCATAGGCAATTCCCTCTGCCCAGGAGCCCTCGCTTGCCGTTTCCCTCAGGCAAATTCTTGAATGCTTTCAATACGCCATTTTCCATTGCCCTCAAGAATATTTAACGGGCAGTAGCGGTTAAGAGAGTAGAGCTGTGGGCCTCAGTTTCTCCAGTGAAATGGGGCCCCTGGAGCATATGGCAGTAGGCAGGGCGTTAGGAAGCCTACCAGACCGAGGAGGGACAAGTGCTGCAGAAACCCAGCGCTCTTCGCTCTCTGCAACCGTGTATGTACGGGTGTCCTCGCGAGGCAGGCAGCCCCCACGGATCGGGGCCCTATGCTGACTCATTTGGGAATAAACCCTAGGAAAACGTGGCCTCGGCGAACGTGGCAAGACAGAGAATGAAGAATGAAGTAATGAACAAATGAATGGATAGACAGGATGCAGAGCGGGACAAAGGCCTGCAAGATGGCGTTCTTTAGGACCGCGGGAGGGGCGGCCAGAGCCTCGGGACCGGGAGGGGGCCCACAGACAACGGGGACTCTGCTAGAGGGACACGCAGCGCAGACAAAAGCCCCTAATATGGCGGGCTCTAGGACCCCTGGGCCCGCGCGGAGCAAGGCCGGCAGTCGAGCCTGCGGAGCCCAGGCGTCCGCAGCAGCTGACCGCCCAGCAGCCGGCGGGTTCTAGGACCTGCTGCCCGGAGCCCGCCCGGGGCCGCTCTCTACTTGCCCCGCCCGCGCGGCTCGCGCCGGGTCAACTCCGTCCTCGCTCGGCATCCACGAGTAGTTGAGGCCCGCTTGGACGGCGTCCGTCCCTGCTGCCTGGGGCCCTGGAGACTTCCCAAAGGCGTCTCCTACCTGGTTCGACTGGGGCTGGCTCCGGAGTTTCGGCTTCGGCTCCTAGCACCGGCGGAGCCCGGGACGCCGCAGGAGAGGGGCCGGCGCTAGGACCCAGCGGGGTGGGGGGGCAGGGAGGCGGGGCCGGCGGGCCGGAGCGGAAGTGGAAGAGAGCTTTCCTGGCTAAGGCGGAAGGAAAAGCTTACGGAAGCCACTCCAGTCCCACCGTAGCAGAGAAGTATTTTGCGAGGGGTCTCTGGGTGCTAAGGGGATGAGACGCCAGGCCGATTGACGGTGTACACCCTCCAGGTCACCGGAAGTGTCTCCGAGAGCTAGGAGGTGGGAAGATACGGAAAGGGCATGCTCAGGCTTTGTAGTGCCCAGGTCCCTTGATAGTCCATTTTCTTTAATAGCTAGGAGTGAACTTAATGAAGACCCAACGCCTGTCTTGGGAAGAATCTTTCGTGGAGCATTTGAAAAGTGCCTCCGAAGTACTGTAGCCAGGGCTGCAGAATCTTTTTATTACGGCGCGCTTATTTAATAAGCACCGGAACGATTTTAGCAGCTGTGAGCGGAAGTGTGACTTAAGCTAGTGCACTGACCTGCTGCGCTGTGACCTACGTGGGCGGGGCCAGCGTTGTGAGCCCCCGCCGAGCGTGGTAGCTTGCCGCCGGTAATTCCAACATCCAGGAGGTTGAGGCAGGAGGTTGCTGCGAGTTCGAAACAACAAAAACCAAATAGTTGAGCCCACTTAGAACCCAGCGCCGGAAGTGTGTCCTGTAGGACAGAGGGACAGGAAGTTCCTGAGGCGGAAGTTTCGGGGGGAACTTTTAGCACCTAGGACACTTCCTGTTTCCTAATAACAATAGGAAGTGTCCGCGGAGCGGGGTAGACTCTACACTTACCTACTGTGTCCCGCTCCCTCTTCCTCCTCCTTCCTCCCGCTTCTTTCCGCTTTCCTCTTCTTCCATTCCCGGGAACCCTGGCCGAGTGTGCGTGTGTGGGAGCTCCAGAACCCTTTCACCAGCAACTACTTAGGGCTCGCGGCTGCAGTTAGGGTAAGGGTCCCACTGCGCAGGCGCGATCCCGTTCGCGCCCCCCCCCCCCCACGGAACCAGAAGGCACTCAGTGCGAGGTAGGGATTTAGAGAGGAAATTGGCAGAAAAGATGAGTGACGCTGGAGGATGTCGGTGGTGGGTGATTAGAGAATGGGACCTTTGAGTGAAGGAGCTTTGAGAGGTGAGAATTATGGGAACAGGCTCAGCGAGGGACGTTAGAGTTGGAGTTAGGAGCTTAGGGTCCCAAGGTAGTGAAGAGTGGGTGGGCATGTGTACCTTCTACTGGGAAGGCTGGGGTTTTCGATGAAGGCAGCTAGGGCTGCCTGTTGCAGTAAGTTTGTTTATGTATAAGCTGGGGTAATGGAGGCATTGCAGTGGTGTGACGATTTAGTGACATAAAGACTACTTAGAATGGTGCCTGGCACACAATACTTCCCACCATGAGTTGCTGTCATCGGTTTTAAGAGGAAGTAGAAGAGAAAATGAAAAATTATGGTGACAGTAAGGTAAGGCAGGCAGAGGATAGAAGAAGGTAGAGTATAAAATAAATACCAATTGGAAATGGGATGGGACTTGAAAGAAGGCTTGTGTTTAAGGGAAGTAGGTAAAGCAAGTGGCTGAGTCTTTTAAAAAGGACTAGTGTTGAGGGGGGCGCTCATCCCTTTCTTTGAAAGGAACTTCTAACCTCTACTGTAAGGCCTCAGCTGTCAACTGAAGAAAGTAGCTAGGTTTTTTCCTTTGGGTTTGGTTTTTGAGGAGGGGTTTCATTTTGTAGCTCCAACTGGCCTGGAACTCACTATGTAGACCAGTCTGGCCTCAGACTCACAGAGATCTGCCTGCCTCTGCCTCCTGAGCACTGGGATTAAAGGCATGTGCCATCACACCCAGCTATCCCACCTTGAACTTTTGATCTTCCCCTCATCTCCCAAGTTTACAACCAAGCCCAACTTTTTCTGTATTGATTGATTGACTGCATTTTGTTTGCATTGGTTTTTGTTTTGAAGAAAAAAAAAAAACTCACTATGTAGCTCTGGGTTGTCTCAAACTCACCTGCCTCTACCTCCCAAGTGCTGGGATTAAAGGTGTGCACCATCATACCCAGCAAATTAACGTTTTCAGTGCTTTCAGACTGTTTAGTTGAAGGGTAAAGAAAGAAGGATTAGCCTTGTTGTACAGCCTGATCAGGTGTTGTGGTTCACACCACATTTATGAGGCTAATGTCAGAACTCCATGAATTTGAAGCTAGCCTTTGCTGCCTAGGAAGTTCCAGGTCAGCTTGGGCTACAGAGTGAGCTGAGACCTTCTCTAAAAAACAACAAAAAAGCCTAGATAGTTCTGTTTTGTTGTTAAGATTTCACAGATTTTTGTTAGTTTGTTTCAGAATTACAGAAAGCAGAGGGTTAGGAACAGTAAGACTTTTCATATTCAGTCTGAGAAACAATGGGTTTGTCATCAGAAATAGATTAGTTCTGTCTAGACTTTGGTTTCCTTATGTATATCTACCTCTAGGGATGACTTAAGCCTAGAGGAACTTTCCTAGAAGTTTGTGCATAATGGGGCCTTCCATGATGGTATCTCCAGATTAGATGTAATGGAGAGCAGGTCCCTAGTTAATTCCTTCCTTTTGACCATTGCCCACTCTTTCTAGGGTTTGGCCCCTCCACCAGAGGAAGATGCTTCTGCTCCTTGTCTCTTTCTCCTGAACTCCAGGTTTTTCTGCCACATTGCTCCATGGAGGACACACCCCTCTCATTCAGCTGCTCTGACTGTCAGCGCCACTTTCCTAACCTCCCAGAACTGTCACGGCACCGAGAGCTGCTCCATCCATCTCCAAACCAGGACAGTGAAGAAGCTGATAGTGTCCCTCATCAGCCCTATGGGCGTGGCTCCCATAACCCAGGGAGCTTGATCAACTACCACCAAACCCACAAGGCTGGTCTTTTCCCCTGTACTACCTGTGGCAAGGACTTTGCTAATTCCATGGCTCTTAAGAATCATGTGAGGAGTCATGTTCCTGAGGGCCACCACAGGCACAGGCCCCCACCCCTCAAGGAAACCACTCCACACCTTCAGAGTGAGACAGTGTCTACTGATTCTTGGAGTCAGAGGCTTGGCCCTGGGGAAGGCTGGGAAAATCAAACAAAGCATGTAAAAGAGACACATGAATGTGAGTCTAGAGCTAATCCCAGGGCAGCTCCAGGTACTTGGGAAGATCTACCCACCAAACAGAGAGAAGGCTTGGAAAGCCAGCCAGATCCTGAGGAAAACACAGAGGGTTGGGGGTCTGTTTCTAATTCTGCCAGAACCCCACCTTTCCATACTCCAGCAAACAGCCTCCTTAGCAATTTGGAACAGTATTTAGCTGAATCAGTGGTGAACTTTACAGGGGCCCAGGAGTCCACCCAGCCCCTTCCTCCTGAGAAGGAGCGAAAGTACAAGTGCAGCCAATGTGGCAAGACGTACAAGCATGCTGGGAGCCTCACCAACCATCGCCAGAGCCACACCCTTGGTATCTACCCTTGTGCCATCTGTTTTAAGGAGTTCTCCAACCTCATGGCTCTAAAGAATCACTCCCGACTCCATGCCCAATATCGGCCTTACCACTGTCCCCACTGCCCCCGTGCCTTCCGGCTTCCTCGGGATCTGTTGGAACACCAGCAGTCCCATGAGGTGGAAAAGCAGGAGCAGCCCCTGGAAGAGAAAGAGCTGCCCACCACGAATGGGCACACAGATGAGAGGAGTTGGGAGCAGCTACCTAAAACACAGATGTTGAATGGCTCCGGGGAGCTCAGCGCTTCTGGAGAGTTGGCAGATGGTGGCCTAGAGGAGTATCGACCTTTCTGTTGTGGAGACTGTGGTCGAACTTACCGGCATGCAGGTAGCCTGATCAACCATCGAAAGAGCCACCAGACAGGTATCTACCCCTGTTCAATTTGTTCCAAGCAGCTGTTCAATGCAGCTGCTCTGAAAAACCATGTTCGTGCTCATCATAGACCCCGGCAGGGCGCTGGGGAAGGTGGACAATCATCAGCGCCCCCAGCTATCCTGATGTTGGCTGAGACCACCTACAAAGAGGAAGAGGTCCCCATTACCACCCTGGACCATCGTCCCTATAAGTGCAATGAGTGTGGTCGGGCTTACCGCCACAGGGGAAGCCTGGTGAACCACCGCCACAGCCATCAGACAGGAGAATATCAATGCTCACTCTGTCCTCGCAAGTACCCCAACCTTATGGCTCTGCGCAACCATGTACGGGTACATTGTAAGACTTCCCGCCGAAGTACAGACCCAGGGACTGAGGGTTCCCCCTGCCATTTCAAGAGGGAACTCCTGTCTAACCCAGTGGGAACAGAAAGAGCACTTCACTCAGATCAGGGGCATGTGCACAAACATGAAGAGGCCGCCACTATCCCCCCTGTAGCAGGTAGGACAGTGCCACAGATGTGTAGCATCTGTGGGATGTCCTTTGAAGATCCTGAGAGTCTTGAACATCATAGCATGACCCACAGGGCTGGGGAAGAAGAAAATAGCAAGACAGAGACCACAGTGTCACCACCTAGAGCATTTGCCTGTCAAGACTGTGGAAAAAGCTATCGCCACTCAGGCAGCCTTATCAACCATAGGCAGACCCACCAGACAGGGGACTTCAGTTGTGGAACCTGTGCCAAGCATTTCCACACCATGGCTGCTATGAAGAGCCATTTGCGACGTCACAGCCGGCGGTGGAACAGGCGGCATCGGAAACAAATCAGTAGTGCTGGTAGAGAAGAAGCCAAACTCCAACCTGTGGGAACCTTGGCTCCAAAGCTGGACAGCAATGAGGACCTGGACTCTTCTGAAGACCCTTTAGGAGAAAGTCCTTGTAGGTCTGAAGACAACTTAGAACGTGATGGAGACTGTTTGCAAGCTGAATCTGAAGGCAATGAATGTGGGTGTGAGAGGGATGAAACCTGTTTCCTGGGTGATAAAGAGAGCAGAAGCACTGAGGAAGGACTAGAAAAGAAGGAAGCCTGTTTCCTTGATAACTTGGACATCCCAGGGGATGAGGAAAGTAGTGAGACTCACTTTTGTGATAGCCTCCCTGCAGTAGAAGGCAACCAGATGCCTGCTGCTTGCCAACCCAGCTCCTCTTCCCAGCCCGCTGATACTGACGGTGCCTGGAAGGCTGAAGTCACTCACACATGTTCTGATTGTGGGCATTCTTTCCCCCATGCCACCGACCTGCTGAGCCATAGGTCCTGCCACCCCCCAGGCATCTATCAGTGTTCTCTCTGTCCAAAGGAGTTTGACTCTCTGCCTGCCCTACGCAGTCACTTCCAGAACCACAGGCCAGGGGAAGTGGCCTCTGCACAGCCTTTCCTCTGCTGCCTGTGTGGTATGATCTTTCCTGGGCGGACTGGCTACAGGCTTCACCTGCGCCAGGCTCACAACACTTCTGGCATGACTGAGGGCTCAGAGGAGGAAGGGGAAGAGGAAGGCACAACAGAAGCAGCTTCCACCCGCAGTCCTCCTCTGCAGCTCTCAGAAGCAGAGCTGCTGAATCAACTGCAGAGGGAGGTGGAGGCTCTAGATGGAACAGGTTATGGGCACATTTGTGGCTGCTGTGGTCAAACCTACGATGACCTAGGAAGCCTAGAGCGTCACCACCAAAGTCAGAGTTCCAACAGTACCACAGAGAGGGCTCCTAGCCACTTGGAAGAATCAGGTGATACCATAGAAATCGTTGCAGATCATGTCTTTGAGGGCACTATGACTTCTGTCTCAGAAGAGGGTGGTGACACTGAGTCTGAAGTGAGAGTAGTTGGCACAGTTGCAGATGGCCTTTGCATGCAGGTTGGTGAAAGATTCCTAGAGTCCCACCCCCGCCCTTTTCGATGTAACCAGTGTGGCAAGACCTATCGCCATGGAGGCAGCCTGGTGAACCACCGCAAGATCCATCAGACTGGAGACTTCATCTGCCCTGTCTGTTCCCGCTGCTACCCCAACCTGGCTGCCTACCGGAATCATCTGCGGAACCACCCTCACTGCAAAGGCTCAGAGCCCCAAGTGGGGCCCATCCCAGAGGCAGGAAGCATCAGTGAGCCCCAGAATGTGGTAGAGACAGGGTTGGAGCAGGCAGAAGTAGGGCAACTCCAGGGAAAACTTAAAGTGGAGCCCTTGGACGAGGTGGCAAGGGTAAAAGAAGAGATGTGGGAGGAGACCACTGTGAAGGAGGAGGAAGTGGAGCAGAAGTTGGAGACAGCAGAGAAAGGCTGTCAGACTGAGGCCAGTGCTGAGCGCCCCTTCAGCTGTGAGGTATGTGGCCGCACCTACAAGCACGCTGGCAGCCTCATCAATCACCGGCAGAGCCACCAGACTGGCCACTTTGGCTGCCAGGCCTGTTCCAAGGGCTTCTCGAACCTCATGTCCCTTAAGAACCACCGTCGAATCCATGCAGATCCTAGGCGTTTCTGCTGTGGTGAATGTGGGAAAGCCTTTCGCTTGAGGAAGCAGCTGGCTAACCACCAGCGGGTCCATACTGAGCGACAGAGGGCTGGGGGCACCCAGAAGCTGCTTCAGGAAGATCGGACCTTCCGGTGTGGGCAATGTGGCCGGACCTACCACCATGCCAGCAGCCTCCTGAACCACCGATGCAGCCAGGAGGTAGGCCAATACACCTGCCCCTCCTGTCCTAAGACATATTCCAACCGTGTGGCCCTGAAGGACCATCAGAGGCTGCATTCTGATAGTCACCGGCGAGCAGGACGGTCTCGGAGGGGAGCTGTACGCTGTGCCCTCTGTGGCCGTGGCTTTCCTGGCCGGGGAGCTCTGGAGCGGCATCTGCGGGAGCATAAGGAAACAAAATTGGAGCTGGCCAGTAGCCAGGGATGCCCACTTGGTACAGAGGGCAGTGAGGGGAACCTTGCTGATGAGTGGGCACTGAAGGGCAGATCAGGTGGTACTGAGTCAATACCACAGCTAGAGCAGGAAGCCACAACGCCTGGGGAGCATAGTCAGAGCCCCAGCAGGACATCAGGTTCAGAAGCCACAGAGTCTATATCATGGAAGGTGGGAAAGGTAGATGAGTGGCAAGGAAAGAGGGGACCAGAGAATCATAATGGTGGCTGGGTTCCTCAGGGTCAGGTATTAACCAAGCCAGAAGACAGGATTGAAGACACTGTCCCTAGTAACCCTTGTCACCTCGCTGATAGCCAGTCCAGTGGCCCTAGCCTGAGTTACATGGATAGCTGGGATGGAGACAGCAGTTCTCAGCTCCAACTAGAGAGCCACTCCTATTGCTGCAGCCATTCTGGCAAGACCTGCCAACCTGATGCCCTTTTGAACCCCAGCATTCGTAAGACAGACTGCCACTGTTGCCTGCTCTGCTCCAAGGAGTGCTTGAATTCTATAACCTCTAAGAACCACAATCACATAGCTGCTCAGACTTTTGCTTGCCCTAAGTGTAGCAAGTCTTTCCAGTCCCGCCCCGAACTGGCCATGCACCTGAAGGCTCATGCTGGCGACTTTAGTCAGGTATCGGGTCAGACAGAGGAGGCCAGAGATCCCCAAGATAGGACTGGTGAGAACATAGTGAGTCTCCTTGGTCCAGGGAAAGCTCAGGAGGCCCCATCAGAACCTCCCAGAGATCCAGAAGAGAAAGACAAGCTAGCTAGTGGAGGACAAGGGATAAGTTTCACAGCAGCTGAAGACCAGGAACGGCCCTTTTGCTGTGCTCAGTGTGGGCGTTCCTACCGCCATGCTGGTAGCCTGCTGAACCACCAGAAGGCCCACACCACTGGACTCTACCCTTGCTCCCTCTGCCCCAAACTTCTACCAAACCTACTGTCTCTTAAAAACCATAGCAGGACCCACACGGACCCCAAGCGGTACTGCTGCAGCATCTGTGGCAAGGCTTTCCGGACAGCTGCCCGGTTGCAAGGCCATGGACGGGTCCATGCTCCCCAGGAGGGGCCTTTCACCTGTCCCCATTGTCCCCGCCACTTCCGCCACCGAGTCAGCTTCCTGCAGCACCAACAGCAACACCAGGAGGAGTGGACAGTGGCTAGTGCTGGTAGGTTGGGCAGCGATGAGGGGCAGAGGTGGCTGTGTGGACTCTTCAGTTACAGCCAAAGATGACCGTCCTTTCTCTTTCAGTGGGCAGAAGTAGCTTCTTCCACCCACCTACATCTGGAAATCCTGATTCAGACAGGAAAAAGATGAAGCCGTTGTTTAGGTTCTGCTTTCCTAGAGTGGGCAAGAGGCCAGGGAATGAGAGGGTAGGATGGGGGATTGCAGGTTCCTGGGTTGTCATATAGGTAGGTGTGCCCTGCAGGGCTGAGGTGAGTTTGAGGTAAAGTGTGGGGTCTGCCTGCATGGCTGCTTTATGGCTTTACTGCTGATTTGGCCATAGCAGCTGGGTCATTGGTCAGTACTCCCTGTCCCTCTCCCTATAGTTTGTCTCTGCCTTTTTTCTTGGAAATGAGATCTCTGGTCCTCTCTTAAGTGTTATACCATATTTCTTTTTTTTTTAGTCAACCCTTTCCTTCTAGGATATATCTTAGAATCCAACTAAACCACCCTCCCTGCCAACACACACACAGATACACACACACACACACACACACACACACACACAGCCCCCACACACACACACATACACACACACACCCCACACACACATACACACACCCCACACCCCCCACACACACACAGACACACACACACACACACACACACACACACACACACACACACACACACACACACACACACACACACACCCGCTGTCCAAGATACACCCCTTTAACTGAAAGACTGACTCACAAATAATTATTTCCTTGGAGCCAGGCCCAGCAGAGCACAGCAGTCATTAGTGCCTATCTCTCTCTATCAGAGTGGCTTTCAGTATAGACTGGCCTCCACCCATCTCATTGGAGGATGAGGCTGTGGGCATGTGAGACAGCCTTTTTCTAAGCTTTGGCTCATGCTCCACATCTACAGAGGAGAACACATTCTATCTATAGCCACCAAGGGAGGGTGTCCCTGAAATGGTAAACCCTTGACCAGAGCTTGTCAGAGGACAGAATAGTGGGTGATGATCCCTGAGAACTAAAAGAATGTTCTCAGGATAAAATTTCTTGGGTGAAGGGTGGTGGCATTTGACTTTAATCTCAGCACCTGGGAGGCAGGGGCAGGCCTGGACTACATAGCAAGTTCCAGGCCAACCACGGCTATGTGTTGAAACCCTGTCTGAAAGGAAAAAAGGAAAAAAAAAAAAGATTTCTTGTGATTCTAAGGGAAATGCAAAAATAATTAGGAGTCCTAGGATGCTTAGGCTTTGGGTGGGTGTTGGGAGAGGGGAGCTGGGAATGTACTCAGGCCTCATGCATGCTGGTAAGCACTTAAACAACGGATTATTATCTCCTGGGGGGTAGGGCCCTATGAGGGAATGACCTGCAGGACTGGATAGGTAAGTTTTGCCCCCTTAGTGAGTATCTCTCTCTCTCCCCAGGAGCACTAACGCCGCCAGCAACAAGCAGAGGGGACTCATCATCGCCCCTTCCACCCACTCCCACAACCTCACTCCTGGATCCTTCACCCCAGTGGCCTGCAGACCTCAACTTCTCTCTCTGAGCTTCAAGTCTCCAAAGATCAGTACATTGGAGTGTGGGACGCAGGCAGGGAGGGGCTTGATCTCCACATTTCACTCAGGAGTTGCTTGGGCATCCCCATCTCCTCTCCCAGGAAGAAAACCCTAATCTGGCTTCTTTTTCAAGAAGGGGATAAGGGAATCCTCATGTCATGTCCATAAAGGATCTCCTTCCCCAGCCTTTTCACCATGTTCTTCCAGGGCCGGGCTTTGCTGAGATGCTGGGCCAAGCTGCAAGGCCAGATTCCAACCCCAGGGAGAGGCAGATTTGGAGAGTGCCACAGGTGGGAAACTTGCCTGTGGAAGGGGAGCCTTTTGCTACAATTTGTAACTTATTTTCTAAAATCTATTTTGTAACAGTTTATTTAAGTTTTAAAAAAGGAAAATTGCTCCCCCCCACAAGAAATTTTTTTTTTCTCAACCGGTGAGAAATTTTTTTTTTCTCAGACAGCTGGTGTGATTGTATCTGAAAGATAGGTAGTGTTGGGGACACTGTGTTGGAGAGCAGAGCTAAGTGGGCGCGTACACATGTTGCATCCCTGTCCTGTAGGACAGATGGTGGGGGCAGGTGCTAGCCCTGGGCAGGCTCATTCCCAGCCAGCTCTTAGACCTGCCCCAGGACTGGGAACCACAAAACAAGGAGGGGAAGAGCGCCCCAATGCCAGGAAGGGCGTTGATAGGGGTGTTGGCGTAGGCATTGCCTGGCTTTTCTGGTGTCCTGTGAGTAAACTAGAGTCCGCCAATCAACAGCTGGCTGGTTGACCTGTCAAGGAGAGGAAGGCAGATGAGGTTGGCCTTAACCTCATAGCTTTGTTACTCCCTTGAAGACGATGCATCTTGGCTCCTGTGGTCATGGGAGACCGGAAGATCGAGAGGCTAAGACTTCTCCCTTAGAATCCATGTGGATCTGTCTGCTGCTATACTTCCATCCTAGGCAGCTAGAGATGGGTCAGAACAGTGTTTTCCCTAGTTGGAAAGTGGTCTAGCGAGAAAGGGTGAACAGAAACACATACTCGAGTTGGCCAGGCAGCTTCCAGCCTCAGCCTCAGGCTCTGGCTCCTCAGCGAAGTAGACCTGCCAGTCCAGATTGCTGACCCAGTCCTCATAGGCAGATAGCTCCGCAAAAACCGCAGGCCTTGCAGGGCCCTGGCAAGCATCTCCAAAGCTGTGCAGTCCAGCCAGGAACCATGTGCCTCTGACCTCATGTACCAGTGGTGCCCCAGATAGGCCCTGTTGGGGCAGGTTACACTGAGTGACTTCCTTTCTCATGCACAGTTACAAGAGGTGAAAGGGGGTTGGGGGCTGAAGCCTGAGCTGTTGGGGTCAGCTGGCAGAAAGGTTTAATTATAGGCAAGAGGCAGGGCTCACAGCCAAATTTGGCAGAAAGTCAGTTCATGAACTACAGGGTAGAGAATACCAGAGATCTGTTGAGTAAGGTTTGGGAAATTTGAGCTCACCTCACAGTGGGGCTGCTCACCCACAACACTGGTGCATACCATCCCTGGCAGAATGGGAATGCTATTATTTCCAGGGGCTGCATGTAGCCGGCTACAGGCCATAGGCCCTAGGAGTGTCACAGGTACTGTCTGGGGATACCTGATGCCTATAAAGCAAAGGAAGGAACCCAGATGCCCCATTGTCTTTCAAGCTGGACGGACAAATGCCAGAGGCCCTGTTCTTACATACCTGCTCCTTGGGCCAGCCCAAGAACCCAGCCATGTTCACCATCAGGCAGGTGGTGGTCAGCATAGGGCAAGCAAAGGGGCCTCAGGCTAGGGCCCAGTGTCACAGGCTGAGCCAGCAGCAAGAAGGCCACATCATAACCACCCTCTGGGTGGGTGTAGGCCCCATGGAGGATGAGCTGCTTCAGGCCCCGCTCCTCTGGTCCAGCTCCCAGTCCTACGCTCCATTCCTCTAGAGTCTGGCGCCTGTTTAGAGGCAGCATTGGCAGCACTGAGTGACAGAGCTGGGGCAAGGGACACAAAGGAGAGGGACATAGGGCTCACCCAATGAAGCAGTGAGCAGCAGTCAGTACCACCCCCTCTGACACCAGGGCTCCACCACAAGCCAGCTTTCCATGGTGCTTCAGCCTGGCATCCCAGGGCCACGGAGAGAGGGCTCCTGGCTGGGGGCCTTCACTCCTCAAGGAGCCACATGCTGAAATAGGTGAATTGTATCGCCCAGTTTGTTAACTGCTCATTTAGGACCAGGGCCTATGTTAAGTGCTTCCCACAAGTTAACAGTTTGTCCCAGTGTCCTTTTCTAAGCTGACTTTTGGCCTCATTACCAAAGGTAATCAAACTTCCAAATAGGTTAAGTAACCTAGCTCTGTAACCAAAATGAAATAGCCCACTTAAGATTCAAAACCAAGGCATAAGCTTTTAGCCCTGATGGTCTAAAGCATACCATGTTAGCTTTACTCAAGAGGTTCACTTCCTCATCAGTCTGCATCTCTCCAGGCCTGGACAAGCTCCAGAATCCCTAGCTTACTAGTGCTTCTCTGAATGTCAAGGCCTAGCTTCCTTCATGGTTTTGCTTGCAATGTGTATTGTAGTCAATTAATGCCAAGATTCTGAGTGGGAGCCTTGTCCTGTCTCATGTCACTGATTTTCCTCAGCCAGATCTCAGACATACTCTTCTTTCAAAAACCCAAACTTTGAAATATCTATGCTTCCTGGCCCCAGGGGGCTGTTTCCCTGGGGCTAAAGAAGGGCCTTAAAAAGCCTTGTAGTTAGCCACTGGCAGTATCTAGGCTATGTGCTGCTCTGCCTCCCTGTGGCTCCCATACACTGTCCAGAAGTCCTCCTGCATAGTTGGGTGTCTTCCTACACCCCACTCTCAAAACCCATGCTCATACCTACACAGCTGTCCTCGTCACTGGTCTCCAGAATCTCTGAGTCCTGGGCCAAGAAAGCTGCCCCCTGAGCTCGGGCCTGCAGCCATGAACTGTGAGCAGCCATGTCAGTCAGCAGGACAGGAGTGTCTTCTTGAGCACATCTTGAAGTAAAGCTGATGATCCCAACCTGGACCCAGTGTCCATCAGGCTCACGGCACATCACAGGGCCCCCAGAATCTCCCTGGAGCCAGGCAAAGGGAGTCAAAAGATAGACCCGAGCCTCAGCCTTGGCCAGATGCCCTTTGGCTGTAGCCCTCTCTATAGGTTGAGACCCCAGCTTAAGACTAGATTCTCCCTCCCCTGTGTTCCCCAGCAGACCTGGCAGGGCCCCTGCACTCCAGGCTGGGCACCCCCACACAGCATTCCAAGCCTTGCTGGGCTGGCCAGCAGCCGCTGGTGCAACCGATTGTAGAGACAGTTACATGTGGGGCGGCTGATGAGACGCAAGCGGAGATTCCGTAGGGTTCTGGGAACTGGCAAAGGACATGAGGCTGAATCTGGCTCTGGGAAGCAATGGGGGCTAGGGGCCAGGACAGTTGGAAACTGAACCTGTATGAACCTGCACAAAAGAGTTTCTCTCTGGGTTTCCCTCTAAGACTACTCACCATCACTGGTGTCCTGGTCCCAGCCAGTGGCCCAGCAAGAAGCTCCAAAGGGAAAACGATGGGTGGATTGGGGCAGGCAGAGGGTTGTATGGGCTGTGGGATGGGTGAGCTGGAGCAGGGCCAGGTCGGAGCCCTGGCTATAGTGGTTATAGGCTTTGGGCAACTGCAAGGCAGCAACCCCCACCTCCTCAGCACCCAGGCTCAGCCCCTCCTGCTGCAGAGAACCCAGGACCACAGACCAGGAACTCAGTTCTGTTGCAGCCACCCTGGAATGGGAAGAGCAAGGCCCAGACAGCTGAGTGCAAGGGAAGACAGTGATAGCTTGGAGAGCAGCACGGGATGGATGAGCAGACCCCTGCCCATAGTGTTAAGGACAGCTCTCCTCTCAACCTCAGTTTACTCATTTGTAAAGCTTGTACTGTGAAAGGTTGCTAAGATTTATCTGGTAACATGTACCTGGCACACGGCACATTCTTCACAAATGATACTTTACTATTCTAGACACGAAGAGTAGTCTTGTAAGGCTTAGGGACAAATTCACCCTTAAATCAAGAGACTTTTGTCTGAACCCAAGTATGACTCACTTTTCAAAACAATGAGCAGCAGTGAGGACCCATGTATCTGCCACCAAGGAGCCACTGCAGATGTGGACACCCTGCCGCCTCACACTGGCCTGCCAGGGCCATTCGCCAGGTGTCGTGTTGCCCTCCTGAGGTTCCGGAGGTCCAGGGCCACGCTGCCCACAAGCTGTGGAGAAGGGTGATTAATGCTGACTGTGGACCCCTGTCCTATCCTCACCAGACCCAAGTACAGCCCAGCCCCCATGTCCCTGTGTCCCCATGGCCTACCCCACTGAGCTTGAAGACCTGGAAAGAAAAAGACACAAGATGTGGGGGTCTTCTACCTGACAGGCCCAGATTTGGTGGAGGGACAAGTTAAAGGACAGGCCCTAGATCCTTACCTATGACTAGCTACCTCACCAGCCCTTCCTAAAATGAAAATATTTATATGAGGTTGAAAAATAGCTTTTATTGGAGCCCATTCAGAGTACACACTCAGCGATTAATTCTCCTCTCTGCTGTGCTCAGCACTCCTGGGCCTGAGGAACAAGGCCTGAAGTTTACCTTGGGAGCAGGCCAATCCCCCTCAAGGCTTCTAAACCCCCAACTCCTGTCCCCACCACTGAGTCAGGGAGGTGGCCTGTGTATGTGAATAACATTAACTTAATTGTCCCTTCAGCTGTGGAGCCTAAGAGGGGAGATTAGAGGCCTGTGTCATGGCCAAAGTAAGGGAGGCTCCAGGAGGTAAGATTCACTCCTCCCCTGTCTGAAGGAGTCAAATCCTCCACCTTTCCACAGGCTGTCAGAGAGCCTACCAAAGGGTCCCTGCCCTTCCTGTTCCCCATCACAGGCTCACAACAAATAGGCCTACTGCACATGTAAGCCAGGAGAGCTGAGTTGACATGGAGGATAGACCCAGGCCAGCAGGGCTAGAACATGCCTGAGGTCATTCTGGAAGTAGAGGGGCAGACAAGGGGTAAGATACACAGGGACACAGGGATAGTCCCCACAGATCTGAGATCTCCCTCTCACTAACCCAGGCATTAGACTTGTGGTCTCAGGCACAGTATTTAGCTTCTCTGTGCCTCACTTTCCTCACCAAGATAGGGATAATAGTAGTACCTACCTCATACAATTGCTACAGGGATTAAATATATTAACACAGGCCCTTCAAACGTGCTGTAACTTGGCCCAGGATAAACACAACCATTTTGATAAAAGGCTATGTATTACCTCCCATTCCCACCTCATCCCTTATCCCCAACAGAGCCAAAGGACATCCACAGGGAGACTAGTCCTTCAGGAAGGACCCCTCGAATTCAAATCGCAGGCTACTGAGGCAAAGGGTGGCTTGTAAGCCCCTACCATGCCATTCTCCCTTCCTCAAACATGGGCAGCTTACCTTCTGTGAGGACCACGGCTCCCAGGATGAGCAGCCCTCCTCCCCAGCTCTGCTTCATACTGCTGCAGGCCACTGTGGCGCCTGTGCTCTTATTCACAGAGGCCACCTGTGTCTCCCTGGCTCCACCCCTGCTCCGCCCCCAGTCTGCTAAGAGTCAGGTATTGCTTTTCCTGGGTTAGAAGGGAGCCAACAGCTCTTAGCTTCAGGGCTGTGGTTGTGTGACCCTGGGATGGTCATCACCCCCTCTCTGGGCTTTCATCATGTGGCCAGATTGCTCCAGTTCAAACTCCAGTTCCTACTGTTTCAGTGACCTTGAATACCTCAAACAAAAATGCTTATGGGGCTGGTGAGATGGTTCAGTGGGTAAAGGAGCTTGCCACCAAGCCTAACACTATTTGATACCCAGGACCCACATGGTGTAAAGAGAAAGGACTCCCACAAGCTGAACTCTACACATGGGTCATGAGGCAGAGCCGGGGAGAGGGTGTGAGTGCACACATACACACAAACAATAAATAGAGTTTATTCTGAAAATGCTTAGAAGCCCAGTCTATGCATGTCTATAAGCCAGTACTTCCAGGCTGAGGCAGGAGGTTTGTAAGTTTAAGGTTAGCTTGGGCTACCTAGTAAGTCCTAGGTCATCCTGGGCTATAAGGCAAGACCCTGTTTCAAAAACAAAATCTTCGTTGTTCAGATGTGACTCTGACTTTCGAGATACATTGCTTCCAGCCTAGAAATGTCATTTGTGGAGCACAGTGGGCAGACTTGTCTAGATTGCATTTTTCAACTTCCCTGCCTCTCTCAGGCTAAAGCCTGGTAAGTTTCACACACACCCTCTCCCTGCTCTGCCTCAAAGCAGGGCTAAAGTGTTAAAGGGGCTGGGTCTTCACTACTTGGTTGGCAATTCCTCTCTGGGCCTGCCACCTTCTTGGTAAAGGTTATAGTGCTGCCCTCCTTTCTGGCAAATGCTAGAAGGGAAGAACACTGAGAGTACATCTTTTTTCTTACCTTCCAACTCCTAACTTGGGGCAGCCCTACCATTCAGGAACCCTGACCCCAATATAGAGGCAACTGGGAGCACAGTTTAGAGCAGACATGAGCCAAATAGCCCAGGTGGACTCAAATTCTGAAATATAGCTCAGTGGTAGAACATTTGCCTTGAATGTGCAAAGCCATGCAATGTGGGACATAGTGTGCATTAATCTGAAATGTCCGTCCCCCTTCCCAGCACTAGACATGTGGTCTCAGGCACATTAGTTTCTCTGTACCTCAGTTTCCTCACCAATAATAGTAATAATGGCAGTACCTTCCTCATATAATTACTATGAGGATTAAATGTATTAACATGTTAACTTAGGCTCTTTTTTAAAGGATTTATCTTTATTTGTACAAGTGTTTTGATTGCCTGCATGTTTACTGGTATTTGTGTAGTGCCTGCAAAGTCCTGAAGAGAACAGAGCTGCTGAGTGGGTGCTGGGAATTGAACTTAGGCCCTCTGGAAGAATAGCAAGCGCTCTTTACCCAAGCCACCTCCCTAGCCCCTTAACACAGGTTTTTTTTTTTTTTTTTTTTTTTGGTCTTTTTGAGATGGGGTCTCCCTGTAGCTGGAACTCACTATGGTCCTGGAACTCACTATGTAGACCAGACTGGCCTTGAACTCAGAGATCCTGCCTCTGCCTCCCGGGTGCTGGGACTAAAGGCGTGCGCCACCATGCCTGGCTCTTAACACAGGTTCTTAATGGGGCTGGAGAGATGGCTCAGCAGTTAAGAACACTGGTTGTTCAGCTGGGCGTGGTGGCGCACGCCTGTAGCCCCAGCACTTGGGAGGCAGAGGCAGGCGGATCTCTGTGAGTTCAAGGCCAGCCTGGTCTACATAGTGAGTTCCAGGACAGCTGGGGCTTACAGGAAGACCCTGCTTCAAAAAAACAAAACAAAAAACAACAACAAAAAAACACTGGTTGTTCTTGCAGAAGACCTGGGTTCGAATCCCAGCACCCACATGGTAGCTAACAACTGTCTGTAACTCCAGTCCCAGGGGATCTGACAGCCTCTTCTGACCTCCACAGGCATTGTACAACACGGGTGTACTTACCTACATGCAGGCAATACATGCATACACATAAAATTAAAAACCAAAAAACACAGGTTCTTAAACAGCACTTGGCATGTGGGAAAGTCCTCAGTACACATTAGGAAAAAAATATATATGACCTGGCCCTGTAAAGCTGTTAAGACTGACTAGGGGTGGGGGTGGAGGGGCTAGAGAGATGGCTCAGCAGTTAAGAGCACTGGCTGTTCTTGCAGAGGGCCCAGGTTTGGTTCCCAGCACTCACATAGTAGCTAACAACTGCCCCTACCTCCAGTCCCAGGGGATCTGACACCCTTTTCTGGCTTCCAAGGGCATTGCATGCACCTGGTACATTTATATACATGCAAAACACTCATATATGTAAATTTAAAGAAAAAAAAAAAAAGACTGGCTTGGGATGGTAGTTAAAGGGGTTAGACTACAGAGAAAAGTTCCTAACAAACTTGCCCTCCAGGTATGTGCCAAGCCCTCCCAGGAGAGGAGGTCTGACATACGTGGACAGCAAGGACAAGCTTGTTTCCTGGAGGTGGGGGCTGATGGCTGGCGTGCCAGCCTTTGCTGACGCCACATGCTGGAGATGATACAGCCACTCTTCCCAGACAGGCCCTCTACTCTCCCTCTGACTCATCCAGTTCCAGAGAAGGCAACAATAGGGGAAACCCAACACCCTGTATGGTCCCTAGATGACATATAGTTCAGACTTAGCCAACTTAAGAAATTTTATTGTTCAGAATCTCTCCTTTCTGGGCACTGGCAGAAAGCAGCCCTTGGGAACAAAACTAGAGGCATGTTTGGTCACTGTCCTGTGCGTGACTATGGAGGGGGGGTTGGAGGAAGAAAGTAGGGCCTTCTAGGGACCCAAACATGGCACTCTTGAGCAAGGCTCAAGTGCCACGGCAAAGCAGATTAGGTTAGCCTGCATGGGGTGAGGGCCCTCAGTGCCTCTTGGCCTTGGGTTCTGGCACCTCCTGGAAGCTAAGCCACGTCAGGCCCACATTGATGGCATAGGTAGTAATGCAAACGATGCAGAAATCATAGAGCACAAAGAACAGGATCCAGGCCAAGTAGACAGAACCAGCGAGGGACATCAAGGAACTCAGTACCAGTAGGATAGAGGCCCAGCGTCCCCTCAAGCAACCTGCAAAACAAAAGAGAATCAGGAATGGTTACATCTAGAGCTGTCATGACTTCTCAGTGCCACTCAGACAGCAGATGCTTCTGGACAAAGGTCAGGATCTGGCAAGCCCACACCACAACCTTGGTTCCCCTATTTGTCCAGTAATCCTTGAGGTCCTGCTGAACTTACACGAGATGAAACAGCTGTCACTTAAGGAGTCCCCTCAAAAAGGAATTTCTAAGCTGGATGTGATGATACGTGCCTAGATGCCTATAATTTCAGCACTTGAGAGGTGGGGAACAGGAAGATCAGGGATTCAAATTCAATCTGGAATACATAAGCCCTTGTTGGGGAAAAATAATTTCTGAGTCTTTGCCATTAAACTGAGATCCTAGGAAGTCTTTAAGGGACCTCAAGCCTCTGAATACATAAAACAACTTGGGGACTCCTGTTAGTTCCCTCCTTACCTATCTCCTTGTGGGAAGGATGTTCAGTGATTAGCAGCTAGCTGTCAACTGTCTGGGTCACTAAGATATTGGGGTGGGGCTGAGCTGGACTGGCAAGAAGCTGGTTAAGAAGGGGTGGAAGCCACTCACCTAACAACAGCTGTAGTGTGTAGAACATGCAACCAAATATGCTGTTGGATTGGTTGAAGATGCTGTCCATTCCCAGCACAGGCTCTATCAGTCCAAAGCCCCGGCCCCACCTGGTGGGAGTGAGAAGACCCAGGTTAGCAGGGTCAGCCTAGCACCTTAGGCTTTATCCTGGAAGAGTGACTTTCAAAAAGCCACTAGGGCTTTCCTACCCACCAAGAATCCATTATGTCAACGACCTCTTGCCCTCTCTGACCTTTGGTCACATCAGGAATCCACTTCACTGACTCTATGCTCCCTTACCCCTAAGCCAGGACTGGCCATGGCTCCTCTATAGGCCCCACTTTCATCCGTAGACCACCAATACTTTTTCAAATTGATCCCGCTTCACAGTTACCACAACTGGGAAATCCGGGCCACATTCTCTTTGCTCTGGACCCACAAATCTACAGTTCTCTAGCCACCCACTTCCACTTCCTCCCTATTTTGTTATCCCACTAACCACTAAGTTCTCAAGCACAGCCAGAAAAAGCAACCTTCTCCTCAGAACAGCTAGTCTCCACCACCTCCTCCCCGTTGTGCGATCCTCTGCCGTCGTCAATCTCCACAAACTACTTTGCCTTCTCCACTTTCCCAATCACAGGTACTCTTTGGCGTCCTCAGAAAGCGGGTTGCCCAGTCTAATACCAGACCGCAGCACTCTGTCTCCCTATCCCGCACTCGTTTCAAACACCAGTACATCTGAGTGGTCCGGCCCCTGTGCACATCTGATTACCCAGCAACAGCCCCTGAAGCAGTCAGCCTTCTAGTTCTGTTCCGTTCTCCCGACTGCGAACAGAAAGACCTGTCCCCAGGGCCCCTTGCTTTCCACTTCGGCACGCACCGAGAGGAGAAGACGCGCGAACAGCTGATGGCAGTGCCCACGTCGCAGAGCGCGCGGTAATCTTTGTCGCGGGAGCGCACCGCCTCCACGTGCACCGCATAAAGCGAGAGCGCGAAGCCCGCGAGGCAGAGACCAAGCCGCACCGACCCCGGGTTCCTCCAGGTGGTGCCCATGTCTGGTCCAGCCAAGGCATCAGACGGAAGAAAACCAGCCACGGGGCGGGGGCGGGGGCGGGCCAGACGGTGGCCACGCCCCCACCCCTTCGACCGGAAGACTGGCTCGCTGCGCCTGGTATTCCTTGATCCCATTGGTTGGTTGTTTTTAGCACTCAGTAAAATAGGCTTAATAGAGAGTTAGGAAAATCGCGAGGAATGCTGAGGTGGAAACTGGATAAGGGACGCTGGTAATAACTTAACCGGCGGCTGCCGGGCATGCTGGGAATTATAGTCAGAGAGGCTGCAAGGCACCAAGGGAAATACAGTTTGTAGAGGTTTTTTTGTTTTTGTTTTTTGGTCTTTTTGAGACAGGGTCTCCCTGTAGCTCCAGCTGTCCTGGAACTCGCTCTGTAGACCAGGCTGGCCTCGAACTCACAGAAATCCGCCTGCCTCTGCCTCCCGAGTGCTGGGATTAAAGGCGTGGGCCACCACGCCCGGCGCAGTTTGTAGAGTTGGTTTTTTGTTTTTGTTTTTTGAGACAGGATCTCCTTGTAGCCCCAGCTGTCCTGGAAAGTTTGTAGAGTTTTAAAGATACTAAATGTGACAGTCCTTTCCCTAAGCCAATGTTCTGAGCATTGGCATGTCCAGAACCTAGAGGCTAACTGACTCAGGAATCCAGAGAATATTGTGATGAGATTCAGAAGCAAGCATTTCCCCTGAAATTTCTTCAGACAGCATTTGGCCCAAACCTGTCCTCCCTGGTGGCTCTCAGCCATCCATCCCGCCTCACCAGCGCCTCCAGTGGGCGGAACACTCCCTCTCTCTCCCTGTAAATTCCGTTACCTTGGCCTCACCTCTGGCAGTTTACCAAACCTCGAAACTGTTGTGACATCTCTTGGCAAAATCTGAGCATGGATCAATGCAACAGTCCCCTCTTCTATCTCCTCCCCTTTACTATTGCGAACCCATCTGTTCGATACCTTCCACCTCTCCATCCTTCCCATCTGCATGGAGTCCCTTCACCAGGTTCCCCCCCATGCCTTCCCTCCCCCACTTTTTTTTTTTGTCTTTTTTGAAACAGGGTCTTCCCGCAGCCCCAGCTGGCCTGGAACTCGCTATGTAGACCAAGCTGGACTTGAACTCACAGAGATCTTCCCTGCCTCTGCCTCCCAAGTGCTGGGATTAAAGGCAAGCACCACCACACCTGCCTTTTTTAAAAAAAATCTTTTTTTTTTTTTTTTGGTCTTTTTGAGACAGGGTCTCCCTGTAGCCCCAGCTGGCCTGGAACTCACTATGTAGACCAGGCTGGCCTGGAACTCACAGAGATCCCCCTGCCTCTGCCTCCCGAGTGCTGGGATTAAAGGCGTGTGCCACCACGCCCGGCTTTAATATTTTATTATTTTTATTTTATGTGTATGAGTGTATTGCCTGAATGTAAGTGAGTGCACCCATGTCCTGCAGTACCTCGGAGGTCAGAAGAGGGCTTCAGATTTCCCTGGAACTGGAGTTAAGGACGGTTCGTAGCCACCATGTGGGTGCTGGGAATCGAACCCTGGTCTTCTGCAAGAGCAGTCAGTGCTCTTAACTGCTGAGCCATCTCTCCAGGCCCCCTGCCTTTTTTTTTTTCTTTTTTTCTGGTTTTTGAGACAGGGTCTCTCCATGCAACCCTGGCTGACCTCAAACTTGTGACAACTGCTCCTACCTCAGCTTCCTGAGTGCTAAAGTTTACAGGCATGTGACACCATGTGACAGGCCAATCTCAATGGGTCACTTACCCTGCAAGCTATTGTTTTTTCCTAAGCTACTGGTATTTTTATTTTAGGCCAGGGACACCTGCATCAAACTTCTAAACTAAAGAACAATTCAAAAACTTTAGCCAGGCAAGATGATTCAGCAGATAAAAGTGCCTACTTCAACCTGAGTTTGATCCCCATGTAAAGGTAGAAGGATAGAACTGACTCCACAAACTTATCCTCTGATTTCCACATGCAGGTACATGCCTGTACTCACTCATACATATCATACACACACACACACACACACACACACACACACACATACACACACACATTTTTGCAGCACAGCAAACTAGGATAGCTGGATTTCAGACAGAAAATTTTTTATTTTTTAATTTTTTTTATTTTATGTGTACTGTATTGCCTTCATGTAGGTAAGTGCACCCGTGCCATCCAATGCCCTCAGAAGTCAGAAGAGGCTGTTGGATCCCCTGGAACTGAAGTTATGAACTCCAGTTATTAGCTGCCATGTGGGTTCTGGGATTTGAACCTGGGTCTTTTGCAAGAACAACCAGCGTTCTTAACCACTGAGCCATGTCTCCAGCCCCTCAGATAGAAAATTAATTTGTACTGTTATAAACTACCAGGTTCATGGTAATTTGTTATAGCATCAAGTGGAAACTAATACAGGTAAGTAGGATTTTGGTCCGTTTCTCAACTCCTGGCTTCCCCCAAGAGTAATCTAAATTTGAGAAAGGCAGAAGCTGAGTATGATAGTATACATTTGTAATCCCAGCACTTGAGACCTAGAGGCAGGAAGGGAATCATTACAAATTTGAGACCAGCCTGTCTAGACAAGTGAGTTTCAGGTCAGCCAAGAGCTACATATTGAGACCCCGTGTCTAAGAACAAAACAAGAGAAAAACAACAAGAACCCAAATGTGAAAGCCACAGCATCTTTATGATTCAACCTCAGAAGTCACCACCTTTTTTCTTCATTTCACTGACTCAGGCCAAGTCTTATTCAGTGTGGGCAGAGACTATTCAAAGGGAATTGTTGAGGACTTATTGGCACTTAGCAAATCACCACAAAAGTAAGTGGACTGAAACAATAAGTCATGTGTGGTGGCACACAGCTGTAATCCCAGCACTTGAAGACTGAGGCAGGATTGTAAACTGTGGCCAGCCTGGGCTATAAAGCAAGATCCTGTCTCAACAGAACAACAAGATTTTAAAAAATAATTTTGTTTTTTCAAACATTTCTTTGGGCATGGTGGCAAACACCCTTAATCCCAGCACTAGGGAGGCAGAGGCAGGTGGATCTCTGTGAGTTCAAGGCCATCCTGGTCTACATAGCAAGATCCAGGCCAGCTGGGGCCACAAGGATACCCTGTCTCGAAAAGATTTAAAAAAAATTAAACAAACAAAAAAACCCCGCATTTATTTATCATGTGTGTGTGTACGCATGCACATGTGTGTGCTAATGCCATGGTGCACATGTGGAATTCAGAGGACAATTTGAAGAGGTCAGTTCTCACTTTCCACCTTATGGTTTCTGGGTACTGAACTCAGGTCTTTGGGCTTGGTGGTAATCACCTTTGCCCACTGGGTCATCTTATCAGCTTTTCTGTTTTTTTTTGTGTTAGAAATTTAGGATGAGAATTAGAACTGAGTAGTTCTGGCTCCTGCTGTTACAGTCAGATAATGGTTACAGCTGGAACAGTAAGAAACAGAGGCAGACGAGATAGCTGAGGATATCTATCTCCCTGCCATGTCTTCTCCCTGCATGGACTAGTTTGGGAGTTTTTGCAGTAGAGCAGCCTCAGGCTCAGGATAGCCAGCTTTCAGAATAATCCTCAGTGCTTCCCAGCTTATGCCATCATGTGGTCTTTTCCCACACTGAACAGGGCAGAACTGGCCCAGGAAACTACTGCAACAGTAGGACTGCTGAGTCACCTCCTGGTTGTCATATGGATGTCTCATAGGCCCATCAAGTGCAACACATCTGAAACGGAACTCCTTATTTTTTCCATTTGTTTCCCTTCTGGAATTTCCTGTTTTGGGATGCCTCCTCCATCCTCCCAGGCCACCTTGTCTGTTCCCTTTTTTTAAAAAATTTACTTACTTTTATTTGGTGTGTATGAGTGTTTTGTCTGCACTTCTGTGCACCCATGTTATACAAAGCCCACAGAGGCCAGAAGAGGGTGTCAGGTCCCCTGGAACTGGAGTTACAGATGGCTGTTAGCTGTCATGTGGGTTCTGGGAACTGTGTCCAGGTCCTCTGCAAGAGCAGTGCTCTAAACCACTAAGCCATCTCTCCAGCTTTTTGTTCTTCTTATAAGCAGGGCTTCACTATTAGTTCCTGGCTAGCCTAGAACTCACTAAGTAGATCATGCTGGCCTAGAACTGACAAAGATCTGCCTGCCTCTACCTCCCGAATGCTGGAATTAAAGGCATGCAGCCACTACACCCAGGTCTGGATTCTCATTCTTATAATTAAAAAAAAATTATTTGTACTAAAAATTTTTTTATCATTTTTATTTTATGCATATGAGTATATTGGGCTGCATGTGTATAAGTGCACCCGTGTCATGCAATGCCTGTGGAGGTCAGACTAGGGCATTGGATTCCCCTGGAACTGGAGTTAGGGATGGTTGTTAGTCACCATGTGAGTGCTGGGAATTGAACCTGAGTCTTCTGCAAGAGCAGCCAGTGCTCTTAACTACTGAGCCATCTCTCCAGCCCCTTGTTTTGTTTTTTTTGAGAAGGGTCTCCCTGTAGCTCCAGATGCCTGGAATTTGATATGTAGACCAAGTTAAGTGTGCCATGTGTGCACTGACCAAAAGGCCAGAAGAGGGCATCAGATTCCCTGGAGCTGAAGTTACTTAAGTGGTGAGCCACCACATGGGTGCTGAGAATGAAACCTGGGTCCTCTGCAAGCACAGCCAGTGCTCTTAATTGTTGAGCCATCTCTCCAGCCCTTGAATTCTCATTCTTTTTTTAAAAAATATTTTAATTTATCATTTTTATTTTATGTGTATGTGTGTATTGCCTGCATGTAGGTAAGTGCACCTGTGTCATGCAATGCCCGCAGAGGACAGTAGAGGCTGTCGGATCCCCTGGAACAGGAGTTATGGACAGTTGTTAGCTGCCACGTGGGTGCTGGGATTCGAACCCAGATTTTCTGCAAGAGCAGCCAGTGTTCTTAACTGCCGAGCCATCTCTCCAGCCCCTAATTCTCATTCTTACTCTGTTCCAGGAAATCATTTTTCACCTAGATTACAGTAATAGCTCCCTCCCTGATCTCCTAAAGATACTTTTCCCCTTTCTAAGATCCATTTTCCACACAGCAATCAGAGTGATCCTTACAAAGAATGGTATATGCCTGGCATGGCGGCACTCACCTTTAATCCCAGCACTCAGGAAGCAGAGGTGGATGTCTGTGAGTTTGAGGTCAGCCTGGTCTATATAGTGAGATCCTGTCAAAAGAAAGAAAGCCAGAAAAGAAAGTTGTGTGTAGACTAAGGGTGTGGGCCTTTGTCTAGCATTCAGGATGCCCTGAGTTTCATCCCTAGCACTTCAAAAGAAAAAAGTCAATTTCTGCTATTGCACATTATTCCAATACTTCCTAGAATAAAACCCAACATTTTCATTTATTTAACAAATAAATATCTAGGCCAGCCTGGTCTACATAGTGAGTTCCAGGACAGCTGGGGCTACAGGGAGTTCCTGTCTCAAAAACAAAACAAAAACAAATTATCTATATCTATATTTTGTCTTTTTGAGACAGGATCTCCTTGTAGCCCCAGCTGTCCTAGAACTCACTATGTAGACCAGGCTGGCCTCGAACTCACAAAGATCCACCTGCCTCTGCCTCCCAAGTGCTGGAATTAAAGGTGTGCGCCACCACACCTGGCCTAACAAAGATCTATTAAGACCGACAAGTAGTATTACACACTTGTTGCTCTGGAAGCTGAAGCAGGAAGATCTTAAATTCAAGGTCAGCCTGGGATGCATAGCAAATTTGAGGCTAACCTGGGCAACTTAGCAAGACCCTGTTTCCAATAAAATCAGAAAGAGATAGAGTGTAGCACAGTGGTAGAGCTCATGGCAAGGCTCCAGGTTCAATCTCCAGCACTGCAAATAAAGACAAATTTTTCAAGATTTTTTTTTTTTTTCGGGGGGTACTGGAGAGATGGCTCTGTGGTATTAGTGAATGCTGTTCTTGCAGAGGTCTCGAGTTCTGTTCCCAGCACACACATCAGAGAGGTCACAACCACCTATAACTCCAGCTCCAGGGGTATCCAATCCCTCTGACCTCTTCTGAGGGCACCTGAACTCACGTGTTCGCACACCTAATATAATAAATATGGAAGCTGGAGGTGTAGGTCAGTGATAAAGCTCTTGCCTTGTATGTATGAGGCCCTAGGTTTGATAGCCCCCCACGTACATACACATAAAATGTATGCATTTATATACATACATATAAAGTATATGGTGTGTTAATGGTAGTCACACACACACACACACACACACAACCAGTGCAGAGTGAGGAGAGTGGAAGACTGCAATTTTAAATAGGATGGACAGGGTGGTTGGTCTCATTCAGTTGAGCAAAAGATTGGAGGAAATGAAGAAATAAACTATGTGGAAAAGTAGAATAAGTTACCTAGAGTAAGTGTGGTCTTTCCTACCCAGAGAGAGCAGCCAGTGAGAAGCACTGGGTGCAATGTGCTTAGTGAACTGCGAGTGTGCCAGTATGGCTGGAGTGGAATGCACGCGAGGGGTGAGGACCCGAGAAGAGGGGGAGAGAGGCCATCTTTTAATCTGTCTGGGTCTCAGTTCTTGCAGCAGTAAAATGAAGATAACAGTACCACTGCGTAAGATAGTCATAAAGATTATAGCAATACATAAAAGCTGCTTAGAGGAGTGCCTAATCAACAATACGCCGCCACGTTGTGACCAGGAGCTCGCGGGATGTGTTGACCCAATCCGGTTCCCGGCGGCAGCATTCAGTTTCCGACCCAGCTGGTCTAGAGCCCCGGGTTAAAAGAGTTGAGGTAGCTGCCAGACGCCTCCGGCCGCTGCCAAGAGAGCGCCGAGTCCTGGAACCCAGCCTCGGCTGAAGGCTTCCAGCGCCCTTCCAGGAGCACCCGTCTTCCTCGTGCCTGTCTCCAGGGCTGAGTGGCCTCCTGGCTTTGCACACGGACGTCGTCAGGAAGTTTGAAAAGAAGGGGTAGGAGCAGCGTGGGGGTGGGGATCAAGTTGGAAACCCAGAGATTCTGGGAGTTCCAGAAGGTGTCTGCGCATTTTCCCCAGCTCCTCAGGCAGGTCAGCCACCGCGGGGGTGGATGGGTGGGGGGGTTTTTTTTTCCAGCTCCCAGTTCCAAGTTTAAAGACAGAAGGAAATTCTCCAAGGCTAACCCCAGCTTCATTTAACAGGGTTTTTGTGTATGTGTGTGTGTGGGGGGGGTTGCCGTTGATTTAAAAAATTTTTTTTTTTATTTAAATTTTATGTGTATTGACTGCATGTATGTGAGTGCACCCGTGTCGTGCAATGCTGCAGAGGTGTCACAAGAGGGCTTTGGATTCCCCTGGAACTGGAGTTAAGGATGGTTTGTAGCTGCCATGTGGGTGCTGTGAATCGAACCCGGGTCCTCTGCAAGAGCAGTCAGTGCTCTTAACCACTGAGCCATCTCTCCGGCCCTCGTTTTTTGTTTCTTTAAACAAGGTCTCACTATGTAGCACTGGCTGTCTGTAATTCCTTACATAGACTAGGCTGGCCTCAATCTCAAGGATATCCATCTGCTTCTGCCTTTCAGAGCTGGGATTAAAGGCATAACAGTTTTAAATTTTTAAAATATTTAGAAATCAGTACACACATTCTGAAAAATCTCCCCCACCATCTCCTGTCTGGTTAAAATAGTCTTCACACTGGTCTCTCTGTCTTTGGTCTGACCAAATTTCACCCTCCCTATCAGTACAGCCAGAGTGTTCTGAGGAGCAGACAGTTAAAACCGGCAATGAAGCCAGGTGTAGTGGCACATGCTTGTAATCCCAACACTCAAGAGGCAAAGGAAGGAAGGTTGGGGATGCTGAGGCAGGAGGATAAGGAAGTTCGAGGCCAATCTGTCTACATATCGAGATTATCTCTCAAAAAACCAATCAAGGAGCTGGGCTCAATACTTTGAGAGGCCTCCCAGAGGAAGGCAGAGCTCTGAGATCAAGACCATCCTGGTCTACTTAGAGAGTTCCAGGGGGGCTGGTACTACAGGGAGACCCTGTCTTAAAAAGACCAAAATCAATAACAAAACAACAAAACAAAACCTTTGGTGGTTCCTATCTCTTCCAGGGCTAATACAGACTTGATCTTCCTGGGCTGCTGGTTGTCCCATTCAACACCCTCCCTTCCTGATTCCTTGTAGCCATACCCTCAGATCATGCAGGTTGGTCTCTATCCCATCTCCCTTGCTTAGCCTGGTTCTATTCATTCTGCACCTGTACCCATTCCTGGAGCACCTGTGATGCCCCTCTCACACCAACTGTCCTCCTCCTTATAGTAGTTTGATTCACCCTGTTTCCCTCTGCAGCACAGAAAATTACCCAGTCATGGTAATTTGCAGGCAGATATAAACGATATCTAACACTTGTGTTAATTCCATACCTGGCACTGTTCTAGGCAGTTTGAATATATAAATCCATGTAACCTACAGAATTAGATTAATACATGATTATTTTACCAATACCAAAATTAAAGCACCGAGAAGGGAGCTGAGCTGGAGTCTGAACCAGACTAGTTTCCCATGAATGAGCTAGGGACTTGAAGTAGAACGCTCGGATCTCAGGATGGGGCAGGGTTGTTGTGTATACATCCAAGGGTTTTTCATGCTCTCAAGCATTTTGGTCCCAAGGAGCTCATTTTATACAGCAGAAACTAGAGACAGGCCACGCGGAATTTCAGGACCTCCGGAGGGAGTCAAACTGCTATCTGGAGGTCTTGAAGCAAAGGTGTAACAGGATGGGCTGGGATCCAGGTTACACGTCCTCTGGGTCAAACTACAACTCCCAGGAGGCACCGGGCACACACAGCCCGCGCGATGATTTTACTGCGGGAGAGGGCGCAGGCGGGCTCTGGGAGCCAGGCCTGTCGACAGTTTGGGCGGTTCCCCTCGGACCCCGGCCCAGGGCCTGGCCCCGCGGTAAGTGGAGTCAGCTGCGCAGACCCCAGTGCGGACGCTCTGCGGCTCACGTCCGCAGCCTTCGCCTCTGCGCGGGAGTGCGCATGGGCGGCGGCTGGCATCTACCATATGGGGGACCCAGGCCGGACTAAGTGTCTGGTCCGGGTGGAGGGGGACCTCAGATGGGCAACCCCGGGCTCCAGCAACCAGCTGCCTGCACGCTTCGTGTGCTGCATGGACGCAGGCCAGGTTCCAAGGGGTCTTCGCCCCATAGCACGGAGTAGGGGTCCGCTCCTCCCGCTGAACTGCAGCCCAGGCCCTGGGGAGCTGGGGAGAGGTTTTATGGCTAGATGGGCCTGAGGATTACCCCAACCCCGAGCCAGGTCACATACACAAACCGTCAGGTGGAGGTTCACGTTGAAGAGTAGGACCTCGGGAGAGTGGTTGTCCCGGCTCCTCCTGTGTGTGGGGGGAGGTGGTGGAGGTGAGAGCTGGGCAGGGACTGGCCAGGTCAGAGGATACTGGTGTGCACGTGGAGAGGTGGTGCAGGCCGTCGGGATTTGGATACTTACACCTGCTCTCCGCCGCTCCGATAGATGGGAGCTGCTCTCCCGGGGCTTAGCTTGTCAGCATCCTCAACGGACTCACACCCCTGAAATCCGAGCAAAGCCCTGCCCACCCACACTCTCCTTGCCCCGCTTTGGGGCCGCCTCTGCCTGTCCGGTCCTCAGCCATAGTGGCAGCCTCACCTGAAAAAGAAGCAGAACAATGATACTGGCTTTAATGATGGGCAGCAGCCCTCGGGGCGGACCTTCATTTCGGCCCCTCTTGGGGTCCTCACTGTCACTCCGGGCCCGCTCTACGTCAGCCACCGATATGCACCATGTGGAGCTGGCCAGAGAACGCTCCAAGACTGTCACCTCCTTTTACAACCAGTCAGCCATTGACGTGGCAGCAGAGAAGGTATGCTGCTGGGGTCAGAACCTGGAATGAGTCTTAAGGGAATGGGCTGAGCTAACGTGGTGTGGGTTGGGTGTTGGAGGTCAAGTGCTCAAGATTCATCTACCCTTTCAGCCCTCAGTCCGCCTCACTCCCACCATGATGCTCTATTCTGGCCGCTCACAGGATGGCAGCCACCTTCTGGTAAGGTTCTCGTCCCTTCTTTTCCCCTCTGCTCCAGAGGCTCTAGCTAGATCCTAAGGTCCATTCCTCTTACTGTTATAGAAAAGTGGCCGTTACTTGCAGCAAGAGTTGCCCGTGAGGATCGCTCACCGTATCAAAGGGTTCCGGAGCCTTCCTTTCATCATTGGCTGCAACCCCACCATACTGCACGTGGTAAGGTGGAAGGGGGCTTCAGTCAGTATGCACATTGCTCAAGAGGCAAGTGGGGAGCCCAGGCCCTGTGTGTCAGAGAGACTTGCCTACTGAAAGGTGTCAGGGCCAGATGGGACTAAGCCTTAGGCCTTCAGATGCCAAGACTACATATTAATAGGAGCTAGGAAGGTCTGTGGGGGTTGGACCTTGCAAACTGAGTTGGGTAGTAATCCCTATGAGTGGCTGTTTTCTACTCAGTGTCTGTGGCAACCCTGTGAATTCCCATACTTCTTCCATGCAGCACGAGCTATATATCCGGGCCTTCCAGAAGCTTACAGACTTCCCTCAGGTGAGACTGGGCTGAGCAGGGTGAGGGGCTGAGGTCAGGGTTGGACCACCTGTGCTGATTCTGTGACCTGCAGATAAAGGACCAAGCAGATGAGGCCCAATATTGTCAGCTGGTGCGACAGCTGCTAGATGATCACAAGGATGTGGTGACCCTCTTAGCTGAGGGCCTTCGTGAGAGCCGGAAGCACATAGAGGTCAGAGGCAATAAAGAATGGGCTTGACAAAGGAGGGCTGGAAAGGGACACATTTCTGAGGCCTCATTCTTCATAGGATGAAAAGCTTGTTCGCTACTTCTTGGACAAGACATTGACGTCGAGGCTTGGGATCCGAATGCTGGCTACTCACCACCTGGCGTTGCATGAGGACAAGGTGGAGCTCTGAGACCTGAGACTGACTTGAGAATGTTAAATGGGGAAAGGAGCCACAGGCCGCTTTGGGATGGAGCTGCTTTGGCATCCTAGAAGGTGCAAGTGTTGGGCCGCTAAGGTGGGGTGGAGGTGTTGCTAGTCTTGACCTTCTTTTTCCTGCCAGCCTGACTTTGTTGGCATCATCTGCACTCGTCTCTCACCAAAGAAGATTATTGAAAAGTGGGTGGATTTTGCCAGGTGAGGCTAGAATGGTGCGGGGGGGGGCAGGGGGGCATAGTGTATGTCTCGGGCAGAGAAGGTGTCCTTCTGTCTGTGTCCTTGCCTGGGGCATGGTCTAGAGCAGGGGTTCTTTGTTTGTTTGTTTGTTTTGATTTGCTTCTTAAAAAAATTTATTATATTTTCATGTGGGGGGGTGAGTATATGCCATCAAATGCCTGTGGAGGTCAGAAGACAACTTGTGGGAGTCAGTTCTCTACCATTTGGGATCTTAGGATCAAACTCAGGTCATCAGACTTGGTGACAAGTGCCTTTACCCACTAAGCCGTTTTGACCGCCCTTGATTTTTTGTTTTGTTTTTTGAGACATCTCAGTCTGTAGCCTAGGCTGGTCTAGGACTTTCAATTCTCCTGCCTCAACTTTCTAAGGCTGGGATTACAGATGTGCCATCATGCCCAGTTTAGGGCACCGTTTCTCTACATAGGCACTACTGACATGTTAAGCTAGACAATTATTTCTAGTGGAGAGCTGTCCTGTGCATATGAGGCTGTTTAGTATGACTCTTGACTTTTTTCTTTTTTTTTTGGTCTTTTTGAGACAGGGTCTCCCTATAGCTCCAGCTGTCCTGGAACTTACTATGTAGACCAGGCTGGCCTTGAACTCACAGAGATCCACCTGCCTCTGCCTCCTGAGTGCCGGGATAAAAGGTGTGCACCACCATGCCTGGTGACTCTTGACTTCTATTAACTTGATGCCAGAAATGCCCCCCTCCCCAATGTGACAAGTAAAACTGTATTCAGTCATTGCCAAATGCCCCCTAGGGGAGCAGAATCACCTCCAGTTGAAAACCATGACTCTAGGGGCACCTATCTGAACCTTTCTATCTGCAGACGCCTGTGTGAGCACAAGTATGGCAATGCCCCCCGAGTCCGCATCAATGGACATGTAGCTGCCCGATTCCCCTTCATCCCTATGCCATTGGACTATATCCTGCCTGAGCTGCTCAAGAATGCCATGAGGTGGGCAGGTTGGTTGTGTTGGGTGGGGTAAGACAGAAACTGGGGTGCTATCACCTACCAGTCTTTCTCTCCTGAATAGAGCTACGATGGAGAGTCACCTAGACACTCCCTACAATGTTCCAGATGTGGTCATCACCATCGCCAATAATGATATTGACCTCATCATCAGGTTTGCCCAAATGGACTTGGGCTAGGGTGGATGGGGGTTCTGGGCACTATTTCTGATTTGCTGTAGGTCCTCTAGTACCTACCCTACTCTGAATCTTGGACCCTGGTCAGTAAAGATATTCTCCAATCCTGAGATTGCCAGGAGCTGGATATTAATGGATCTGGGATCAGCTGAGGGGCCTGGAGTTGGGAAACCAGTCTTGATGTCAATAAATGTCAAATCCTGTGAGAAAGCATAATCAGTCTGTGGCCCAGTGGAGGTGAGGATGGAGAAAGGTAGCTTAAACAGATAGGCCTAAGAATATAGGTAGGCCACATTCTACCTTTGGATGGAAAAGGAAGTCAGTCTGCATGGGAGGCAGTGAGGCCTCATCAGATCTGACCAAGCTCATATTGTCACATCCTGTCAGGATTTCAGACCGGGGTGGAGGAATTGCTCACAAAGACCTGGATCGGGTCATGGACTACCACTTCACCACAGCTGAGGCCAGTACCCAGGACCCCCGAATCAGCCCCCTCTTCGGCCACCTGGATATGCATTCTGGCGGCCAGTCAGGACCTATGCATGGGTGAGGCCCCACCTAGCCATGATGGGGGAGGGAGGTAGGCCAGGACACTCAAGCCTCTGAAGTACCCTATCCTGTCCTCCTGCCTGCTCCCAGCTTTGGCTTCGGATTGCCCACGTCTCGGGCCTATGCGGAATATCTCGGTGGCTCCCTGCAGCTGCAGTCCCTGCAGGGTATTGGCACAGACGTCTACCTACGGCTCCGCCACATTGATGGTCGGGAGGAAAGCTTCCGAATCTGACTGCAGATTTTGGCCTGCTTGCCTGCCACACTCCCTATAGGACCTTCTGTGCCTGGCAGGGTGCCACTCTGCTCCACACACTTCTGTGGCCCCAGACAGGACTCACATGGAACTGGGGAACACTCCTCCTCAGCAGGGCCCACTGCTTCCTTACCTCCTGGCCTTGGAGAAAAGTAGGAGCCCCTTAGGCCTTTAGCACAGCTCTGTTCTCACTCTTGGGGAACCCCTAGTTTGACCTGCTGTTTGTTATTAAAGTTTGCATTTGGAATGCCCTCTTGGGCTTTTTATGTTGAAAGGGCAGATGAGCTTTTGTTTCTGCCCCTCTTCGGTTCCCTGGGCCCTAGGGTTTAAACTGGTTATGTCCTAGTCTTTAGCGTCTTGATACCCTGGCAGACAGAATTTGCCCCAAGGTTCTTGCCTGTTTGACTTGGCAGGAGCTGGGTGTGGCTTTGGCAGCTTCTACTCATTTAACAAATGTTTGAGTCCTAAACAGTACTGGAGACCCAGGTAGACTTAGCTTTAGGTCCAGGTTTGACTTCCGTTTCTGGCAGTCAAAGGTTTTAGAAGTGAAGGTCATCAGTCTGGGCAGCCTTCTAAGCCACCTGATTCCTATGCCTAAGTGAGGTTTAAAAATACTGTCTGCCAGCTGTGGCTAAGAAAAGGTTATATAGAGATCCGGGTGCCTCACACATAGAAAGGTGAGGCCCTGCTAGGAGAGGGGCCAAGGACTTCGGCAGGAAGCACTCCAGCTAGCATGCTTGAGCACAGTTTTCTGTTTGGAACAGAACTTCAGATGAAGCCTCAACTGAAAACACCCTCTCCACCTTATTAGGACCTAAGAGCCTGCCTGGTGTGATTGGGGAGAATAATCATACCTGTCTTTTTGTGTGCTGGGCTTTTTTTTTGTTGTTACTGCCTTTTTTGAGTCACGGTCTCATGTAGCCCAGACTGGCCTTAATTAAGGATGACCTTAAATTTCTGATCTTCCTGCCTCTACTTCCTGAGTGCTGGTACCAGAGTCATCCTTCCATCCCTTTTTTTTTTTTTTTTTTTTTGGTCTTTTTGAGACAGGGTCTCCCTATAGCTCCAGCTGCCTGGAACTCACTCTGTAGACCAGGCTGGCCTTGAACTCACAGAGGATCTGCCTGTCTCTGCCTCCTGAGTGCTGGGATTAAAGATGTGTGCCACCACGCCCGGCCCATCCTGGTTTTATGTGGTGCTGGTGACCAAATCGAGGGCTAGTCAAGCACTCTACCAACTGAGTTTCATCCCTAGCCGTTTGTTGAGGCACTGGTTGTTCGTGAAGAAGACCCAGGTTCAAGTCCCAGAACCCACATGGCAGCTAACAACTGTCCATAACTCCAGTCCCAGGGGATCTGACAGCCTCTGCTGACCTCCATGGGTACTGCATGACACGGGTGCACTTACCTACATGCAGGCAATACATGCATACACATAAAATAAAATAAAAAAATTTTTAAAAGTTAAAAAAATTGAGAATTTCATACATACATATAAGGTGTTTTGATCAAATCCATGCCCACTCCCTCCCCTCCAAATCCTCCCATATCTCCCCATCACTTTTCTCTGATTAACTTCATGTACTTTTTTTTGTTTTAACGGGGCTTTTGGCTACTCTAACATTCCCCCCTCTGAAGAGGTAACCCTAAAATCTTTTAAGGATTAGATAAGGGCTCTTAAATACTTTAGACAATTTTGGCCTTTGGAATGGAGTATGTTGCTAAGAGGCCCAAGGACTTTTTAAAATATTTTATTTTTTCATGTGTATGAGTGTATTACCTACATGTATGTGAGTGCACTGTGTCATGCAGTGCTGCGGAGGTCAGAAGAGGGCTTCGGATTCCCTTGGAACTGGAGTTAAGGATGGTTCGTAGCCGCCATGTGGGTACTGGGAATCAGCCCAGGTCCTCTGCAAGAGCAGTCAGTGCTCTTAACCACTGAGCCATCTCTTCAGCCCCAGGACATTTTGACTTTTAGCCAAGAAACTGGCTACTTTTCTTTGGGGTCTTTTACCCTAACTGCCCAGCCAATTCCTACCTCCTTTTATCACACCATCCTCTGAAGAGGTTACCCTACTTCAAACAAGTACTTTTTTTTTTTACATTATTTTTATTTTATGTATATGAATGTATTGCCTGCATGTATGGGAGTGCACCTCTGTCATGCAATGCCGCGGAGATCAGAAGAGGGCTTCAGATTCCCCTGGAACTGGAGTTAAGAACGGTTTGTGGCCACCGTGTGGGTGCTAGGAATCAAACCTGGGTCCTCTGCAAGAGCAGTTAGTGCTCTTAATCGCTGAGCCATCTCTCCAGCCCCTCAAGCAAGTACTCTTAATCAAAAGACCAGAGCTTGTAAACTGGTCCTTCAGAGGTAGATAGTAATTCCCCACTGACAATTAATGATCAAAGTCTGTATTTATTGGGAGGCGGAATGGGAAAGTATTTAAATTCCTAGGTTAAAAACTGTTTTCAGGGCTGGAGAGATGGCTCAGCAGTTGAGAACATTGGTTGTTGCAGAAGACCCGGGTTCAAATCCCAGCACCCACATGGCAGTTAACAACTGTCCGTAACTCCAGTCCCAGGGGATCCGACAGCCTCTTCTGACCTCCTCGGGCATTGTATGACACAGGTGCACTTACCTACATGCAGGCAATACACGCATACACATAAAATAAAAATAATAAAAATTTAAAAAACTGGGCTGGGCGTGGTGGCACACGCCTTTAATCCCAGCACTCGGGAGGCAGAGGCAGGCGGATCTCTGAGTTCAAGGCCAGCCTGGTCTACATAGTTCCAGGACAGCTGGGGCTACAGGGAGACCCTGTCTCAGAAAGACCGAAAAAAAAAAAAAAAAAAAAAAACAACTTTTCAGCTTTTTCAGGCAGAATCAAATGTGGTACATACCTGTGATTCCAGCACTTGGGAGGATCATACACAGTTCAAGGCCAGCCGAGGCTGCATGGCAAGACCCTGACTCAACAAACCTCTTAGTTGTCAGAGAAGAGGCACATGTTCTAGTCTTTGAGGGCACATAAAGACACTCAGAGAAAAATCAAAGACCTCAACAAAAAAACAGATCCAGGGCTAGTAAGACAGCTCAGTAGGTAAACACTCTTGCTGCTGTTTGATCTTTGGAATACATAGTGGGAGAGAAACCACTCCAGAAAGTCCTCTGAACTGCAAACAAATGCACCCACGCCTAAACACATGCACAGAGCTGGGTGTGGTGGAACATGCCTTCAGTCCCAGCACTTGGGAGGTAGGCGGATCTCTAAGTTCAGTCACCCTCGTCTACATAGTGAGTTTCTAGGCCAGCTGGAGCTACAGGGAGACTCACTGGTTGATATTGGAATGAAGGGAGCATGGTATGGTTGATGCAGTGACCCCAATCAGGGATTTACTATGCTGAGGCTAATCCTTAACTAAGAAGCCTGTCATCTGTAACTGAAGATGTCAGGTAAAGTATCAAGTGAAGCATTAGAACCATGAGCAAGTGCAGTAACTGTTCTGAAGTGGATTAGAGGAGAAGGCATCACAGTTTTGCTGCCTTTTCAGTTTCTCATACCTGGTGTAAGATTTTTTTTAACTTTTTAATTTTAAAAAATTTATGTGTATGAGTGTATTGCCTGCATGTAAGTGCACCCGTGTCGTGCAATGTCCAAGGAGGTCAGAAGAGGCTGTCAGATCCCCTGGGACTGGAGTTATGGACAGTTGTTAGCTGCCATGTGGGTTCTGGATTCATACCCCGGGTCTTCAAGAATAACCAGTGTTCTTAACTGCTGAACCAGCTCTCCAGCCCCTAAGATTTATTTTTGATTGTGTACATGTGAGTACAGTTGCTCCTGGAATCCAGAAGAGGGTGTCAGATCCCCTGGAGCCAAAGTTACAGGCTGTTGTAACCCCTCTGATGTGGGTGCTAAGATCAGAACTTGTGTCCACTGAAAGAGCAATAATATTCTTAACCACTGAGCCATCTCTCTGGCCTCTTTCTTTTTTTTTGGGGGGGGGTAATCTCATGGATAACAGACATTTATTGGGCTATAATTTGAGCCCCATCCTCAAGCCTTGAGCAGTGCATCTCTCAGGATTGTTTAGAAGTTTGATGACCAAATTATGAATCAAAGAACTTTCAAAGAATATCTAAAGGAGTTGTTTGCTAAGTACCTACTGTGCTTGGCACTATGTTACATGCTGTTGTATATTGTCAGCATGGATTGGGTAAACTCACCATGTGGCAGAACCTAATCCTAGAAGTGAGGAGAGAAGGAACTTTATTCCAGTAAGCTAGCTGATGAGAAATTGGCAGGGAGTCTCGGCCCTAGAGAGCCATCTTGCCCAGAAGCTGATCTAGTGGCAGCTTGCAGAGGTGATGGAAGACAGGTGCACTTCTCACCCATGCACACTGATTCCTAATCTCCATGTACTTCTCAGCTCTGCAAAGCTCAAGAATAAAGATCATTAAGTCCTTGGTTTAATCTTTTCATCTAGCTTGCCCATGTGCAGTTCCTAAAATGTTACAAAGTAGGCAGGCCAGAGGTGTGGCTGTCCCAACACAGTAATGAAGAAAAACACTTTACTTGATTACTGTGAACTAAAGGTCAAGTGAAGTTACATAGCAAGTTAGACTTAAGATTGGTTTGGTGGGTGCTGGAGAGATGGCTCAGCAGTTAACACTGGTTGTTCTTGCAGAAGACCTGGGTTTGAATCCCAGCACCCACATGACAGCTAACAACTGTCCATAACTCCAGTTCCAAGGGATCTGACAGTCTCTTCTGTCCTCCACAGGCATTGCATGACACGGATGCACTTACCTACATGCAGGCAATACACACATATACGTAAAAATATTGGTTTGGTGGTCTCCCCGTCATATACTAAGTTTAACTTAAATGTATGCTTTACATAGTTCTGTATGACTTAACCATATGTATATATAGCTTACCTTTACTGAATCTCAGCAAACTGACACACTTGTACATTACTCAGGGAAGAGTTACTAAAGATTCTTTGGACACTCTCAAAATATCTCTTCATTGTATTCTTCTGTGCTGTCTTTTTAATTTAATTTTTATGTGTATGCATGTATTACCTGCATGTAGGTAAGTGCACCCGCGTCGTGCAATGCAGCTGTTGGATCCCCTGGGACTGGGTTACGGACAGTTGTTAGGTGCCACGTGGGTGCTGGGATTCAAACCCGGGTCTTCTGCAGGAACAACCAGTGTTCTTAACTTTTGAGCCATCTCTCCAGCCCCAGAGCTTTTTTTTTTTTTTTTTAAAAGACGGTTTTTCTGGCTGGGGAAGTAGCTGAGTTTATAGAATATTTGTCTAGCATGCTTCGAAGTCTTAGGTACAATCCCTAGCACTGCACGAACCTGGTGTAGAAACACCCCTAATCCCAAGACTGGGGAAGGTGGAAGCCTGAAGGACCAAGAGCTCAAAGCCATCCTTGGCTACACCTCAAGTTTTGAGGCAAGACTGCTACCTTAGACTCTCAAAAAAGTTTATTAGAAGACAGTTTATTGGGCACACCTGTTCTTTCCCCATCTCAAGCCTGTCTTCTCCACCCAGAACAAGGCGGACAGCATGCATGATACCCTGGGTTCAATCCCCAGCACCCCATAAAACTGGATATGGTGGAGATCACCTGTAATCCCAGCAGTCAGGAAGCTGCTGAACAATAATTGCTCCGAGTTGAGTGAGTTTCAAGCCAGCCAGTGAAAACATATCTCAAAGGGAAGGAAAAAAGAGAAGGAAGACGGCGACAAGAGACTGAGTTAAGAGCCATCACATTTTGTCCCCTCAGTTTTAGGGTACAGCACTTGGGAGGGGAGTCTGAGACTACGGTCACCAAGTATGAGGCCAGCCTGTACTACAAGGGATTTTATGTCCAAAAAAAATGGGCTGGAGCGATGGCTCAGCGGTTAATAGGACTGGGACCTCTTGCAGAGGAGCTGGGTTCGGTTCTCAGCACCTGTCACATGGCGACCAACAACCCGGAACTGTGACTCCAATTCCCGGGGATCCGACGCCCTCTTCTGGCCTCCGCGGGCAGTGCATGGCACGGACACATAAATGCAGGCAGAACACTCATGCACATTAAAAAGAAGCCTGACGAGGCGGCGCACGCCTTTAACCCGCGCAGTCGAGAGCAGGCGGTCGGACCTCGAGGCCAGCCAGGTCCACATAAAAGAGTTCCAGGCCAGCTTGGGCTGCAAGTCCAAAACACCGAAACCAGAAAACCCACCGAACTTCAAAACCCACTGCCCGCCTCCACAAGCTGGCAGCCGGCGGCCGCGCTAGTCCTCCACGAGAAACAATAGCTCCCGCCACATCACAAGCTCCCACCCCTCCAGACACCACCCCTCCCCCGCTGACCCGGAGCTGAAATCGCGCCTGGGCGCCGGTCTCTGGCGTCACTTCCGCCACCAGCATGGCGACGCTGGGAGCAGTTGCAGCAGCGACTTCGGGACCTGTCGGGGAGGGCGAACCCGGGCCCGGGGAAAATGTGGCGGTCGAAGGGGCTGCCCCATCCCCGGGCCGCGTCTCCCCGCCGACTTCGGCGCGTGGCGAACCAGAAGTCACGGTGGAGATCGGAGAAACGTACCTGTGCCGGCGGCCGGACAGCACCTGGCGTAAGGGCGGGGCCCAGAGCCCAGAGGCGGGGCTTGGGGTGGGGCCGGACCTCCGGGCGGGAGTTCTGGGACTGGGAGTCCTGGGGGGAGGGGCGGGGGGGGTGCGAAGGGGGGGCTCGAGGTAGAACGCGGCGTAGTGGGCATTGAGCTACCAACCCTGCGTTGGGAGGCCACCAGTAGGGATTACCGCGTTAGCGCAGGCTGAGAACCCATTCTTCTTGCCCGATTTCAGGCTTCATATGTTACCGTGGTAACTGTTCCTGCACGGTTTCACTGTTTTGCTTTATTTTTGCTTGTCTGTCTTTGCATTGTTTTCCCCTAAAGCGCCAGCAAAAGGGCTGTCTGAAACACAAAAACACATTTCCCCGTATATTCAGCTTCTTCCTCAGCTTCAGGATAAACCCCAAATTACAGACCGGGGAGATGGCTCAGCCGGTAAAGGCGCTTGTCTCCAAGCCTGATGACCTGAGTTCAATCCCTAGGATCCATATTGAGGAAGGAGAGAACGACTCCCCCTGAGTGTCCCCTCACCTTCACAAGCACGCTATAGCATATGCCCTCCCTATAAAATAAGTAAATGTAATTTAAGAAAATAAAGTAAATTCCAAACTCCTTAGAGTAGCATTAATTTCTGAGACTTCTCCAGTTTCTAGCCACTCCTAGCAAAGACCATTGCCAGACCATGCTGGGCTGTGCCCTCTGAAGACTGTATGCTTTTTAATCACCTGTCCTTTCAACTTGGTATGCCTTGGTCTCTTTGTCTTATGTTTACCTGACTAGCTCTTACTCATCTTTTAGTTCAATCTCCCATGATCACATTCTTTTTGTGGTTACTATGTACACTAGGCTGGCCTCAAACTCACACATCTGCCCTCCTCTGCCTCCTGAATGCTGGGATAAAAGGTGTCTGCTACTACGACAGGAGTGTGTGTTTGTTCATGTGAACTGTCTTAATCCACAGTCAGCTGTCACATACCACAGACAAATGAATGACTAAAATGAGCAATGAATTCAGAGCTATACTTAAATAAGGTCAAATACCAGATTTTCTCAGTTTCCAAATCTTTGACCCTCTGTAAGCCTAATTTTTTTTCCTCATCTGTGCAATAGAAATAATGGTCCTAACCTGGCCCACCACAGGGTTGTGGCAGTAACTATCATAGTAGAGTGACTTGATGAGTCTGGAAATGTGCAACAGATCCTTCCTTTTTTACCCCTTCTTACCTGATAATCCTGTTCTTGTCTTCACAGATTCAGCGGAAGTGATCCAATCTCGAGTGAATGACCAGGAAGGCCGAGAGGAATTCTATGTGCACTATGTGGGCTGTGAGTGTTTGGGGCCCTTAGGCCTGGTGGGGGGAAGAAGTAGCAGATCAGTACCCTCATGGTCCATCTTAACAGTTAACAGGAGGCTGGACGAATGGGTAGACAAGAACCGGCTGGCGCTGACCAAGACAGTGAAAGATGCTGTGCAAAAGAACTCTGAGAAATACCTGAGTGAGCTGGCCGAGCAGCCTGAACGCAAGATCACTCGAAACCAAAAGCGCAAGCATGATGAGATCAATCACGTGCAGAAGGTCTTGGCCCCTTGCATTCCCCAGGGCTGAGGAGGCCCAGCTGCTTCTGCCAATCCCTGTAGGCGCCTTGGGCCCCAGTACAAAACTATAGCAACTCCCACTTGAACTCTTGTAGTGTGTCAGAGACTTTATCTCTCATTTATTCTTCATATGTAAGAATACTGAGGCTTAGAGAGGGAAGGGACTTGGTGCTGTCTCACACAAAGGAAATGGTACAGCCAGGACTGGAACTCTGGCTTACTGTCTAATAGTCTGGTTTGTTTCCTAATGGCTGTGCCATGGTATGCAAAACAATTTAAGTCCAAAGGGAAGGAAAAGAAAAAAAATCATGTTGGTTACTTGGTTATAGCCAAGCACCATGTTGAACACTGTGCATGTATAAGTTCATCAGATTCTCCTTATCAGTCCGACACCACAGGGATAATTAGCCTTCCAGTTACACAGCTGGTAAAAATGTGGGCAGGACTTATACAAGACATTGGTTTGTTTAGTTTACAAAGGAGGCACAGATAGGTTTGGGAATCCAGTTAGGAATTATATCTGCCAAGTGGACTTTCTTCAGAGCCCAGACATTCTAGAAACTCATCCAAAACCAGGATTCTTTTTTTTTTTTTTTTCAAATATACTTTCACAAGTGCCATGGTATGTGGAGGCCAGAAGGCAATTTTTTGGAGTCATTTCTCTTTATACCTTTATGTGGATTCCAGGGATTGAACTCGGGTTGCCAGGCTTGTACAGCAAGCACCTGTACTCACTGAGTCATCTTGACAGCCCTTCCCATTGTTTTGTGTGTGTGTGTGTGTGTATGTGTGTGAGAGATAGTCTTATAGCCCAGGCTGGCCTCAAAGTCTACATAGCAGAGGATGACCTTGAACTCCTAGTCTCCTGTATCTACTTCCTAAGTACTAGGATTACAATCATGAGTCACCATGCCTGACTTTCTTTTGTTTGCTTGAAACTAGAGTCTTGACTATGTAGCCTAGGCCTACCTTGAACTCTTCAAACTAGACTGCCTCTGGGGATTACTTTTCTCCCATTTTGATCCTCCTTTTTTTTTTTTTTTCTTAATTTTCTTTTTCTTTTTTATAGATAGAGTCTCAGTATTCACCCCTGGCTGGCCTGGAACTCATGGAGATCCACCTGCCTTTGCCACTGCCTCCCAAGTGCCATTCTTGTTCTAAAATGAGCGTGACTTGCCATGCTCTAAGACTCCGCAGCAGTTGCTAGTTTCACCTGTCACAGGAGAAACTGATACACTATGTGGACATAGTATGTTAATAGTTTCTAAATACCATTTTGCTGTGGTGCATATAACATTTAAAACATTTAAATTGTTTTAAATGGAAAAAAGAAGTAGGGTAATTAGAAAATATCAGTGCATTCCATGTCAGTAAGAGTAAGTATTGTGGAGCTGGAGAGATTGCTCAGCGGTTAAGAGCACTGACTGCTATTGCAGAAGACCCGGGTTCAATTCCCAGCACCCACATGGTGGCTACGAACTGTCCTTAACTCCAGTTCTAGGGGAATCTGAAGCCTTCTTCTGACCTCTATGGCATTGCATGACATGGGTGCACTCACATACATGCAGGCAATACACTCATACACATAAAATAAAAAAAAAATAAAATATTTTAAAAAGTAAGTATTGTTTTGAGATACTTTGATTTCACATATAATTTATGCATGTATATACACAAACATGTCATCTGGTTTACAGTGCCAACTGTGCTTCCTATTATAGATGTTATAGGAAGTAAATACCCAAAGCTAGAAAGACCCTGCAAGTTTAAGGTAGCACTGTGGAAGAAATGTTCAGTGGGTCATGCTAGGCAGTACAGTATGTACTATCAGTCACCTGTGGCTGTTCATTACTAGTTTGTAGATGTTGACAAGAAATTAAATTTTAATGAATTTAAATATGAAGCCAGGCATGGTGGTGTACACTTTTAATGCCAACACTTGGGAGGCTGAGGCAGGCAGATCTCTGTGAATTCCAGTCAGGACTACAGGGAGACCATGTCTCAAAAAAAAAAAAAAGGAAGAAAAAGGAGCAGCAGCAGCCTTAAATAGTACATGTGATTAGTGGCTGCTCTATTAGACAATACAGACTTAAGATTTTGTTTGCTTACTGACTTGAGAGTGCCTCTCAGCTGGTAATCAGCAGGGTAGATGACTGTGGGTGGGCTGAGCAGTGATAAGTGAGGGGTAAACCTATCAGCAGAGTTCTTCAGAGTGTACCTAATTAATGTGGCTTGTTTTTTTATTTGTTTTTTGAGATACGATCTCATGTAGCCTAGACTGGCCTCAAATTTGGTATGATGACCTTGAATTGATCCTCCTCAGATCTCTGTGAATTCCAGTCAGGACTACAGGGAGACCATGTCTCAAAAAAAAAAAAAAGGAAGAAAAAGGAGCAGCAGCAGCCTTAAATAGTACATGTGATTAGTGGCTGCTCTATTAGACAATACAGACTTAAGATTTTGTTTGCTTACTGACTTGAGAGTGCCTCTCAGCTGGTAATCAGCAGGGTAGATGACTGTGGGTGGGCTGAGCAGTGATAAGTGAGGGGTAAACCTATCAGCAGAGTTCTTCAGAGTGTACCTAATTAATGTGGCTTGTTTTTTTATTTGTTTTTTGAGATACGATCTCATGTAGCCTAGACTGGCCTCAAATTTGGTATGATGACCTTGAATTGATCCTCCTTGTCTATCTCAAGTGCGGGGATTATAGGTGCTGCCACTGTGCCCAGCTCTAATTAACATTTTATTCTAAATAAATTGCAACATTTAAGAAAAATAGTGTTTTGTAGTTCTTTAATGTATTTTCAGAAAAGAATTGTTCTTTGTGAAAGCTGAGAAATGCAATTTAAAGAGATACTTGAAGAGTGAAATCTTTGTTCTTTTGTTTTTCTTGTCTTTGTTGGAATTGAACTGACCAGGGCTACTCTGAGTCCAAGATCTATGACCTTGAGCGTGACTTTGCTTCTGTGTGCCTCAGTTTCTTCTTTTATGCAGTGGGGATGATGAGCACTCTTGTTTCAAAGACTCATTGTGAAAGCTAAATGGAATAATATCTATGGAGTGCTTGACAGTTGTAGTATGTGGCAGCTGGCAAGTCCCTAAGGGGAAGTGACCTCACCCCTTCCTGTCTGTTTACTATGTAAAATTGAAATAAGAATGCTCTGTCAAGGCCAGGTATTTGTGACTGTAATCCCAGCCAGGGAGGCTGAGGTAGGAAGTATTGGTTTGCTGAGATGAGAAGACTTGCCAGTTTGGAGTTCAAGGCCAGTCTAAGATAAAAGGCAAATTCTAGACCTGTGTGGTATAAGTAATGTGACCCTCTTTCAAAAACAGACAAAACCCAGACAAAAAAATGAATCTAGACAAACTTCCTGGAAGGTGAGTGGGAAATATGTTGGGCCTTGAAGGACAGGAAAGAACAAAATAATTACACATGATAGCTCACCAAGCTCTGTCATGGACTCACCTGATCTGTGCTCTGTGTCAAGTTGAGGTAGGCACTTTGTAGCAACATGAAAAGAAGGAAGAGTGTTCCCAAGGTGGAAGTAGCTGCATGTGTGGAAGGATTAAGGCTGGAAGAAAGGTATCAGCGGTGGTTTTGAGGGGCTGGGGCTTGTCAGGGAGTTTAAGGAACCCTAGTCAGTTGTCCAGACTGACAGAGTAGTGGCAGTAATTATTTGGAGTGGGTCAGAGAAAAATTTCACAGGAACTGATTCCAGAGATGTCATGGAGAAAAAGAGTTGGCATCAACTACTAGGATTTGGCCACTGGTTAGATATTAGGCTGAGGAAGAAGTCTTAAGAGTAAGCCTTGTTATCAGTCCTGGGCAATGACCTCTCCAGTGGAAGGGGGACCTAAGAGGAGCAGCAGATTTACAGTGGAACTTAGAGGTCCTCTGGACACCTACTGTCTGATGGATCCTATGAGAAGGTAGGAAGAACCTAAGGAGCAGCCTCCTGAGTTGCTGAGGTCTGGTGTTCAGGAGGGAGGTCCAAGTCAGCAGCAGTTCTTACTCTGGTCTTGGAAAGCAAGATCCATTATTTTATCTGAGTCTCACAGGTTGCCTCAGTGCATAGCTGGAGCTCATAACCCAACAACACCAGGCCTAATCCTAGCCCTTCTGATCTGGTCAGAGATTTAGATGTGGGCATCCAGGTGGGTGGGTAGGAGGATAGACAAGAGTGGGGCTCAGACCAGCCAGGCTCACAACCACATAAAACAAATTAGCTGTTTGCATGATTCTTATTGTCATTTAGAGATGAGTTCTTGGAGACAGTAGAGAAGCATTGCTGGTGCTGAGACAAAAGAAAGACAGCCTGACCATGTCTATTCACCCCTGTCCACTTTTTGTCCAGACCTATGCAGAGATGGACCCCACCACAGCAGCTTTGGAGAAGGAACATGAGGCGGTAAGCAGAAACAGACTGGGGGCTAGGAATGGTACTCTTTGCCCCCTCTGCCCCTTCTAGCTAGCCCTGCCCCCTACTCCTGTCCTGTCTGCAGATCACCAAGGTGAAGTATGTAGACAAGATCCACATCGGGAATTATGAAATCGATGCCTGGTACTTCTCACCTTTCCCAGAAGACTACGGGAAACAGCCCAAGCTTTGGCTCTGCGAGTACTGCCTCAAGTACATGAAATACGAGAAGAGTTACCGCTTCCACCTGGTGAGGCTGGGCCTGGCTGGGCAGAGGGGGCAGGCCCAGGGCAGCAGGGATGAGTCCAGAGAAGTTGACTACAAGGAGAAAAACTACCCAACCTGGATTCTTCTGGGAAAGAATCCAAATTGCACAGTACACGCGTGCAATCCTAGCACTTAGGAGGTAGAGACAAGAGAATCAGAAGTTTGGGGTCATCCTTAGCCACATAGTGAGCTCAAGGTTGGCATGGGCTGCTTAAAGACAGGAAGGAAGGGAGCTGGAGAGATGGTTCAGCAATTAAGAGCTTCTACTGCTCTTGCAGAGGACCTGAGTTCAGTTTCTGGCACCCATGTAGGGTGGCTTACAACTGCCACAACTGCTCATAGCTCCAGTTCCAGGGGATCCAACATCCAACATCCTCCTCTGGCTTCTGCTGGCACCTGCACTCACATCCCATGCCCTCTCTCTCACCCACACACATACACATAGTTAAAACTAAATCCTTAAAAAATATATATAAAAACCGGGAGGCAAAGGCAGGTGGGTCTGTGAGTTCAGTGCTAGCCTGTCCACATAGTGAGTTCTAGGCTAGCTGGGGCTACCTGGAGACCCTGTCTCAAAAAAAAAAAAGACCAATAAGTAAATAAATATATATGAGAGAAGGAAAGAAAAGGAGAGAGAAGAGAGAGCGAGCCCTGGATTTCAGGCCTGGCTTTCCCACTGTTGGCAGGGGAACCTTGACCAACTTATCACCTCTCTCCAGACCTCAGTTTCTTCTTTTGTAGAATGGGAGAAAAAATTACTCAAGTTTCTTACCAAAACAAGTCCTGAGCAATGATTGTCCTAAGATGTGGGCTGATAGGAAGAACTGATGTACAACAACTGCCAGGAAGGGGGCACTTTTTACTAGCACAGCAAGCCATTTCCCAAAGCAAGGGATCTTAGGTAAAATATGAGGTTTAGGAAGAGCATTGTCATGGCAGGCCAACACAGACCTGAAATTAGACGCCTGTGTGACACTTGAGCAAGTTATCAGCCTCTTTACCTTGGGAAGTAGATACCTTTTTACAGTTGAGGAGACAAGAGAATTACTGGATGTAGGCAGAATGTTGAACGTAGGGCCTGCAGATGGCAAAACCAAGAGGCAGAGACTTGTTTGGGCCCTAGAGTGGGGAGTGGAAATCACTTAGCAGAGAACCTAAGGGTCTGAAACCTGTGTTCCCTCATCCTCACTCCCCAGGGCCAGTGTCAATGGCGGCAACCCCCAGGGAAGGAGATCTATCGCAAGAGCAACATCTCTGTATATGAGGTGGACGGCAAAGATCATAAGGTGAGCTTGTGGCTCAGGTCTTGTAGGAACTCCTCACTACCTCTACCAGGCAGCCAGCCATTAATGCATATCTATATCTACTGAGTGAGGTCTTATGTTACTTAGTGCATAGTGAACATAGCCATGTGGTACCACCTCAGGCCAGGTCTCCCATCTGTCCCTGAGGTCACCTCTTCTGATGGAGATTGTTCAGGTTTGGGTCGTTCTGGAGCCCAGGGTGACTGTCTTGCCTGAGGCTGCTCTTAAATACCTTTCTCTTGGGGAAGTGCTTTGTGAGAGATTCCTGGGAATCTCCTTGGCTACTACTGTTTGCTGAGTTCCTTATTCGAGGCAGAATGACAGCAGTGGGCCAGGGATGGGCTTTTGAGACCACTTTTCCATTGTTGAGACCTTGGCTTTTGCCTGCCCAATCTGGGAAGGCTCCAATTTCCCTTGGAAATTATGTCAGATTGCCAGATGAAGAGGGCAGGCTTCTCAGTGGCTCCTAGCTTCACATCACCATGTCATTTCCTGACTGGCCTCAGACAAGTTACTTAACCTTGTTTTGTTCCTGTTTCCTCATCCATAAGATAAGAGTCATAATTATTTACCTAATCTGTTTGGTGGAATGAGACCACAAATGTCAGGTATTTAGCATGTGCCTGGCACCTAATAGGCTGTTAGTAAACATTGCCTTTGTTGTTATTGGTGAACTAACTGTTGGAGTTCCAGGTAGCCTTGTGCTAGGGGAATACTCTGAGCCTGATCTGTGTCAGCTACTCTGCCTTCCTATGGGTAGACTGACAGACGGGGCCCCCAATGGAAACAAGTGGTGCTTTCAGTTCTACCTTCTGCCAGCTTTGGTACCTCAGCACCATATGTAACCACCCCAGCTCCCAAGTCAGATGGGACTAGCAGTGCTGAGCTCACACAGTTAATGAGGTTGAATGAGAGAGATGTAAAGAGGTATAAAAAAAAACAGAGATGGGGCTGGAGAGATGGCTCAGTGGTTAAGAGCACTGGCTGCTCTGGCAGAGGACCTGGGTTCGCCTCCCAACACCCACATGGCCGCCAACAACCATCTGTAACTCCAGTTTCAGGGGATCTGACGCCCTCTTCTGACCTCCATGGGCATGGCAGGACATGGGTGCACTTACCTACATACAGCCAATACACACATACACATAAAATAATAATTAAAAAGTTTTTTAAAAAAACAGACCTACTGTGTGTGGTGGCTCACACCTATAATTATAGCACTCAGGAAACTGGGCAGGAGGATTGCCACAAGTTTGAGGCCAGCCTAGGCTGATACAGAGAGACCCTGTCTCAAAAAGGAAAACCAAACCAAACTCAGAGACCCCTTTACCCTGTGCCATGAAGCTGATCTCAAGGTCCTACTCCCACTGTCTTCTAATGCTGGCCTGGGCAGGCCTCTGGGTCTATATCAGTTAGGTTGAGTCTAGCAGGAAGTGTGGCCAAGTGAGCAGACAGCTCAGGCTTTTGCCTCAGGCCCCTCTAGTCAGCAGTTACCAGCTTCTTGCTTAGCAGCTTTGTATTGGGTGCTGGCCTACCTATGAGCAATACAAAACCTGTAACAGTTGAATTCCTATTCTGGCACTTACCAGCCGTAGAACCTTAGGGAAGCATTTATCTTTTCTGGGCCTTAGTTTGTTGTTCTGAAACACAAGGTAATATCTGTAAAGATTGAACCTGATTATGCATGTAAAATCCCTGACCTTTATTTGGCACTCAAAAGTAGCATTTGGGCTAGTGAAATCGCTCAAAAGGTAAAAGTGCTTGCTGCATAAGCCTGACAACTTGAGTTCTTTCCCTGGGACCCATCATGGAAGGAGAGAACCAGCACCTGAAAATTGTCCTTTGTAAGTAATAATCGACCTTTAACTTAATTTTTTTTTTTTTTTTGAGACAGGGTCTCCCTGTAGCCCCAGCTGGCCTGGATCTCCCTATGTAGACCAGGCTGGCCTTGAACTCACAGAGATCTGCCTGTCTCTGCCTCCCCGGTGTTGGGATTAAAGGCATACACCACCACACCTGGCTACCTAATACAATTTATTTTTTAAAAAGTGGCAGATAGCCAGGTGTGGAGGTGTATGCTTTTAATCCCAGCACTCGGGAGGCAGAGGCAGTCAGGCAGACAGGTAGATCTCTGAGTTCAAGGCCAGTCTGCTCTGTGTAGCAAGTTCTAGGCAAACCGGAACTACACAATAAGACCCTGTCTCAGATAGATAGATGATAGGTAGATAGATAGATAGATAGATAGATAGATAGATAGATAGATAGATAGATAGATAGATAGATAGATATAGATAGATGATAGATAGATAGATAAAATATAGATAAATATAAATAAATAATAAAAAGTAAGGTGGCAGCTGTGATAAATCCAGCTATTCCATTACTATGTTAATGCTAATTTTGAGCCTCCTGTCTATCACACTGACTCTAAGAGTCCCTTGAGTTCTATATCCTGTATCCTATGTTCTGGGGGGAGCCGTTTCCCTCAACTGGCTCTGGCTGCTATTTGTAGCCACGTATGTGCAGAGCCAGAGTGGCCACTCATGCCCAGGCTGGATGGAGGCATTGTACTTGTTTGATAAACCTGTTTCCACCTCTTACTCCTAGATATACTGTCAGAACCTGTGCCTGCTGGCCAAACTTTTCCTGGATCACAAGACACTGTACTTTGATGTGGAACCCTTTGTCTTTTACATCTTGACAGAGGTAGACAGGCAAGGGGCCCACATTGTCGGCTACTTCTCTAAGGTACTGGATTGGGAAATCTGGGAGAGGGTATTATAAACTAGATTGGTCCCAAAGGACCTGAGCATTCCATGCCCCCCCACAGGAGAAAGAGTCCCCAGATGGAAACAACGTGGCCTGTATCCTGACACTGCCCCCCTACCAGCGTCGCGGCTATGGGAAGTTTCTCATTGCTTTCAGTAAGTAGCTGCTGGTCAGTCAAGGAAGAGGGTAGCTAGAAGTACTGGGGGTGGGGGGTGTTCAGAGGGATAGCCATCATTAAGAGTCTTTTTCTGTCATTGCCAGGTTATGAGCTCTCCAAGCTAGAGAGTACTGTAGGCTCCCCAGAGAAGCCACTGTCTGACCTGGGCAAGCTCAGCTACCGCAGCTACTGGTCATGGGTCTTGCTAGAAATCCTGCGAGACTTCCGGGGCACACTGTCCATCAAAGACCTTAGGTAAGGGCCATGGTCTCTAGTGAGGATGGGGATACCTTGTCCATCAGGGACCTTAGGAGAGTCATTCTGGAATCCTATAGGGATAGGCTCCTAAGATTGGCTGTGGATCTTGTCTCCTATCCCTTTTTCTATCTCCAGCATGTGCTCTAATCCCTCTCTACAGCCAGATGACCAGCATCACCCAGAATGACATCATCAGCACCCTACAGTCCCTCAACATGGTCAAGTACTGGAAGGGCCAGCATGTGATTTGTGTCACACCCAAGCTGGTAGAAGAACATCTCAAAAGTGCACAGTATAAGAAACCACCTATCACAGGTAGGTGAAGGGCTACTGTGTGTGTGTGTGTGTGTGTGTGTGTGTGTGTGTGTGTGTGTGTGTGTTAGCTGGGTGGGTGGAATATAAAGGTTGCTAAAAGCAAAGACCTTTTTTGCTGTCACAAGATCCCAAACCAGTTGAACCAGCTTCTAGGACTGCAACCTCCAGGCAGGGGCAGGTTACTCATTCTTGGGATTCCCTACCCCCTCCTCAGGACTGAGGCTGCCCTTTTGTTCTTCCCTGGAGGAGGTGAAACCTGGCCTGGGCCCATAGAGAGCAGCCAGGTGTAAGCAGACCTGGCCCAGAGGCTCTGCTTGCCTTTCATGCCTCTTTTCCCCACAGTGGACTCTGTTTGCCTCAAGTGGGCACCCCCGAAGCACAAGCAAGTCAAACTCTCCAAGAAGTGAGTGGCCGAAGCTGCAGCTGGACCTGTGTCTCCTGGCCCGTAGCCTGTAAATGTGTACAGACCTGTTTCATCATTTTTTAATAAAGTAAATTCTGCTGATGGCTCTGGCCTTTGGAGATGGAGGAGATGCCAAAGGTGATAACTATTCACACGCAGCGGGTATGTTCCAGACATTTTATTCCTTGCTCCTTTATCCTTCACCCTGATCCAAGCCCCAGCCAGCTCCAGTGGGGGCTCAGTCCTCCGGAGTACAGGAGTTGGGTTCAAGGGGGGTTGGCAGCCAGTGGGGCAAGGTTGAGGTCTTTCCTGTCTCAAAGACAGGCAAAGCCCAGAAGACAGGAAGAGGACAGAGTGATGGGCTCATCAGGCAGGGTGGCTAGGGACCTGAAGCCAGCTTTCTGCAGCATTCTGCTAGAAACAGGTGGAAGTCAGGGCTCATCTTCATAGATGAGGCATCTTGGGAGCTCCACAGGAGCCTAACCAATAAGCTGCAGACAGTATAGAGAGGTGGCCTTCCACAGACTATAAATGTGGACTATAAATGTCTTAGACCTAGATTATGGTCCCAAAGAGCAAGTCCAGAAAAATGGGCTCAAAGATCAAGATGGTATACTGGCCTCCCAAAGAGTCCTGGGGGGAGGTAAGGCAAAGACCAGGTCCCTTCTTGGAAACAGGCATGTGTCCTTGGGTGTACTGTCAGTCCTGGAAGCACAGGCAGCTTTGAAGGTGAGTGGCTTAATGTTCAAGCCAAGGGCAGAAGAGGCCCAGGGTCAGGCCCAGTGACAAGAGAAGAATGGACCTTGGCAATCCCTGGGCTTGGGCTGAGTTGAAGACAGACTGGTGATTGCAGAGGTGGCCATCAGGCTGTGACTCCTGGGTTTGGGGAACCACACGAGGCTGGAGTTCTGCCACATAGTTGTGGATCCAGGAGGCATAGCTAGAAGTCATGGTGTATACTCCAGGTCTGTTGGGGGCTCCACAAGCATCACCCCAGCTCACAATGCCTGTTAGGTACCAGAGGCCCTCCACAGGGCAGGAGAGTGGGCCTCCAGAGTCACCCTAAGGAGAAAAGCCACAAAACAGATGTCAAGACCAGACCAGACCAGTGGCCAGCAGTCATCCATGCCAGCTCCAACCAGCCCTCATCTCCCAAGGCACCTGTCTCCTCTGTTCCCTCTGTGCACTTACCTGGCACGCGTCCTTGCCTCCTTTCACATAGCCAGCACACAGCATGTCCTGCTGGATGGACTGGGGTTCTTCAGGCTTGGCATTGATGTTGTATAGACAGCTACAGGTCTCACGGCTGATCAGTGGCACCTCAAGCTGCTGCAGTGGTCTAGGGGTTTGGAGGCTCACTGCCCGGACAAAAGGTGCTTACTCAGGGCCCCAACCTCAGCCTCCCTTCCCTGCCTCTAGGCATCCAGTGCCCTCCTCACCTGAGGGGGCCACATGACCCCATCCTGTGACAGTACAGAGGAGGCCATTGGGGAAGGAGGCATTGGCTGCAGGGAGGCAGATGGGTCTGATGTGGCGGGAGAAGGTGATGGGGCTGCTGAGGCGAAGGAGTGCAATGTCACCCTCGGAGCCCTCCTCACGGTAGCTGGGGTGAGAGATGACCTCGGCCACTGTGCGGACCACAGTGTCGTTGGTATAGGTGTCTAGCTGGTGAGCCCCCAGCTTTACCTCATAGTCATCTTTGTAGTGTTCCCTGCAGGCAAGAGGGCAAAGGAAGACCTGGAAGACCACCCCTTGTTCCTTGATCCCTCTTGCCTTCTGGTGCTTTATCTCAGATTCTGAACCCAAACAGTACCTTTAGGGTATAGTTTTATCCTATGACCCTAACCCTCATCTCTACCTCTGACCTGTACTTTCAGACAATACTGAATTCGGGAGGGGGTGGGGGGACACATAGGGTCTCACTATGCAGCTCTAGCTGTCCTGGAACTTGCTATGTTGACCAGGCTAGCCTGGAACACCCAGAGATTCCCCCTGCCTCCTCTCTAGTGCTGGGATTAAAGGCCTGCTATCACTGTCTGGGCTGATACTGATCCCGGTTTTCCAGTCCACTTTTGACCCTCTCCCTCCACTTGGTTGGTACCTGGGGAAGCAGTGAGCAGCCGACAGCACCCACTGATCAGACACAAGCGATCCACCACACACATGGCCTCCATCATAGGTGATGCTGACTTGCCAGGGCCACTGAGCAGGCTTTGCATTGCTGCCGCCTGTGATGCGTGCCTGGATTACTACACCACAGTGGGCTGCTCAGGGAGGAAGGGAAGGTGAGGTCAGGCCTTTTGGTGGTACCCACAGCAGGCTCTTAGCCTGCCATTCTGACACTACAAGAGACCTGTTTTACAGCCTGGGAAGTGGGTTCAAATTCAGCCACCCTTTTGTCTCCATCTCATGGCTCATCAGGTGTGAGCAGTTATGCCTCTTGCTGGCCTGTTCAAATCTCACAGCAGCCTCTTCCTCTCAAGCCCTCTTGCTTTCCATCCAATCCATTCCTTACAGTAAATCTGAATATCTTTATAAGCCACAAATCTGGCCAAGTCATATCCCTGCTAAGCCCTTCCGAGGCTCCACACTGACCTTAAGATACATTCCAGACAGTCTATGGCTCTGTCAACTCCAGCCATCCCTCTGGACATTCCTTGTCACATACATTGGGCTAGTCCCTGCTCACCTCTGGCCCTTTGCTAATTTAGGTCACCACTTCAAATGCTTTTCTTGTTTCTCCTTTGCTTGGTTTGTGGAGACGGTCCAAAGGGTAACCCCGCCACAGCCTATCCTGACCTAGCTGGCTGAGTCACAGGTATTGCTCTCAGCTCCCAGGTCCCCTGTTCCTCGGACACTGCCCAGGCTTACAGCTGTTTTCATGTCTGATTGTTCCAACCACACCAACCTTGCATTCCCTAGGGACACCCACACACACACTGGGCACATAGAGTTGTGGATGTGGTAGAACACTGAACAGAAATGGAGCCTCTGAGATGTGGACCTGCCCTCACTGAGCTTGGAGTGGAGCCCAACTGCCTTTCATAAAGTGGCTTTCCTCAAGCAGAGAAAACAGCCAGCCAGTCTCCTCCTCCATTCTTTCATAACCCTGACAGTGGCTGCCATTTAGACACAGTCGCAGCAGGTCTAGGTCTGAGGGGCTTTCACTTCTTTATTGACTGGAATCATCACTACACTAGCAGGAGCTGGATAGAACTGACGGGTTTTAACAGATGAAGAAACTAGAGCTTAGAAAGGTGGGGGAATGAGGTCTCTAAACAGTTCAGCTCTGGCTGAAAACCAGTTTGCCTCAGAGTTGGTCTGTTTAGTTTCCCTCAGAACTATCTCAAGCGCTCACTCAGTCATTTATGATCAGCTTCAACTTACAGCTGTCCTCGGTCAACTTAATGCTTTCCTGCACTTCAGATCCTTCATCTATAAAGCAAGAGCCATAATCCCACACACTTAATGTGGGCAGGTGAGCGAGCTTAGCAGGGTGACTTTAAAATCAGGGTGCCACCGCATTCCCATTTCCTAATTCCCTGGCCAGCCTCACCTTCGGCCCCGTCAGCTCCTGGAGAGAGAGAGAAAAAAAAAAAAGGGAAGGCGTAAACAGAGACCAATGTTCCCAGACCCTAAACGCTTGCCACTTGCGTAGAGGGTGACCCCCTTGCTTGCTTGGGGGCTGAAGGGAGAAGGGTAAGTAGAACGGACACTAGGGATTCAGGGATTCGTGAGTCCAGGAAAAGGGCTGTGCACTGCAAAGGACTGTGCCTGCTCTCTCCGGGGCCCTCTCCAAGTCCCCCTCCCTGCTGATCAGTACTCACCCATCCCTGGCTGGAACAATCCAAGAAAGAGCAGAATGGCTGCAGCTTCCAGCTGCCCAGGCCCCAGGCCCGACCATAAGGCCATGGCCCAGGATGAGGGCCCCTGGGGGGGGACTCCAGGTAGGACTGGAAGGAGCCTAGAGCTGGTTTTGAAGGCAGGATCTGTGTGTGGGCTCTGAGGTAAGGAATCCCAGGATCAAGGCTGGGAAGGTGAGACAAATGTCTGGTTTCTCAGGAAAGGAATGGCCACAAGGGGCAGGAGGGCGGGATAGGCCTTTAGTCTCTGCAGTGACCGGAGTGAACCTGTCTCCCTCACGGCCTGGCCACAGAGACCTTTCCAGGTGCCTTGGTGGAAGGCAACTACCTGTGGGCTCCTCCCTTAGCTCCACCCTCCTGGCTCAGTGTGGTTGGTTGGTTTTCTTTTCCTTCTTCTCAAGTCTGGAGTCCTTTCCAACCAAGGAGGCCCTAAGGGTGGGGGCGGTGCTTTGAAGGGAGGACTGATGCAGGCCAGCCAGACAGCAGGGCTGGAAACCCCGAGGGTCAGCCAACTGTCCTCAGGTATTTCAGGTCTCTAGCCAGCTATGACCCCCCATGCCTGCCAGGGCCTGGCCCAGCCTTTGTTATTGTGGGCGCATATTGCCTCTGCTTCCTCCCTACCTCCCTCCTCAGCCCAGAACACTAGGGGTGCCCCAGGCCAAGATCATCCCTGCCAGGTCCTCTCTGTAAAGTTGGCAGCCTTTCTGTAGGTGTTGGGCATGTCTGGCTATTGACAATCATCCAGTAAGTATTGATGAGTACCTACTGTGCCCCAGGCACAGGGAGGCAAAACAGATACCATTCATGACCTCCTTGTGCTCATTATGGTGAAGTAGGGATGTTAGACTTGAATCAAATAATCACAAGCAACTATAGAATAATTTCAGACTAGGAGTTGTGATGGACAAGAGTGTGGGGGGGGGCTCTTGCAATTGCACAGTAGCTGCAGAAGTAGAAGAATGTTGAAAATCAAGCCCTAAGTGAACCTGAAAAGATGCCAACAAAACAAAGCTGGGCCTGGTAAAGCAAGGGAGCATCTGCTGTTGAGGGTTCCAGTGGCAGAAGTTAGGGACAGGGCCTGGGAGGTAGCTCAGTGGGTGAAGTGCTTGCCGTGCAAGCATAAGGACTGGAGTTCAGATCCTCAGCACCCACATTAAAGCTGGGTATGGTGACACACCCATTACTCCAGTGCTGGGGTGGAGACACTGGGTTGGGGGTTTACTGGCTAGCTAGTCCAGATGAAACAGTGAGCTTTAGGTTCAGAGAGCCCCATCAGAAATATAAGGTGGAAAGAAATAGCCTCCACACAAACATGTATGGGTGTGCACAAGCACATGCACACAAAGGGAAGTTTAGGGAAAGACCTGTGTGACTGGGATGGGATCAAGTCCATCCTCTGCCAGCGTGGCACTTTGAATATATTTTGGGCTTGAGGAAAACAGACCATTACTTTCCTCACCCTCTTCCCAGAAGCCTGAGCCTCTGGACTCCGCGGAGGGGATGAAAGGGAGGGGCAAGACACGGAGGGTCATGGTGAGTTTAGGGAAAGGATGGGGCAGGTTCCATGTGGGGGTAGCACAGGGTTGGCTGACTGGCTGGATATAGAGAGCAGGTGGGACCTCTACTTCCCCAAGGAGCTTCTGAAGAATATTCACTTTGGTATCTTCTAGAAGCTAAGGAAAAGACTGGCCCTTTTAACCGCTATCCTCCTCAGCTCCTCGACCAACTTCCAGCCTACCTCCAGTCTCCTTCTCTGCCTGTATAACCCTGAGACTGTCACCCTAACCTCAGCAGTGACTGCTCTTTTGCCCATGTTCGACTTCCACCCCTTTCAGGTCCCTATTTACCCTTTCTCTGTGCTCAAACATTTCCTCTCTGACCATTTCTTGATTTCCAGCCAGGGATGTCCAGATGTGTTTCCCACTTGACTGGGAGCACTTGGTGAGCTTATTTTTCAGGCTCCAGTTGTTATACCTTGCTGCTTAGCAGGGAGGCACACAGGTAAGCAGTAGGTGTGGTGGTGGCATGGGCATGCAAGTGGTCCAAATCCTGGGGGCACTGGTTCGAATGTACAAGTGGTGGTCCTTGAAAGGTACAGTGGGTCATGTGTGTGTGCTGGAGACTCTAGACCCATACATTATACATTAGCATGTGTGTTTGGGGCTGGCTTTCATATCCCAAGTCCCTCTTGGTCTAGTGGATGGAGAAACAGGGTACACAGCCAGGGCTGAGGTATGCTGCAGATGCTAGGGACACTAATTCCAGTGGAGAGGTGACACACAACCAGATGTTCACCTAACCTCCCCCGCCCAGGGGCAGGAATGAGGGAATAGCTGCCACGTTATAGGGGACACATTTCTTGGGAGCCCAAGGCCTGACTCACTGGAAGGGAGGGGCCCTATCCCTGGGGGTTCCCCCTAAGCTGTGAGGTATTCATCCCCTGAGCCACCCCAGTGAGCTACAAGGCCATGAGTCTGTATTTACATCTTTATTGTCTGCTCCTCCCCTACCTCCAAGGATTTTTGGGTCTTAGTAGCCAGCATTGAGGTCCAATTATCTGAAAGCTGCTGCAGTCTGGGTGGATGAGGCCCTTTCCAGGCCCAGGAGCTGGCTGGTTGGACCACATTCCAGCCCTGCTGGATGGCCTGAAGAAGTCACTGAGGAGCCAGACTCAGTCCTGGATCAGTTGAGCCAGTAAGGGCAGGAGCAGAGTAGTAACCCTCAGGGAGCTCGAAGCTCCTGCCAAGTCTGGGGGACAGAGGTTACTGCCTTCAGGAGGCCAGTAGGGAGGGCCACTAGGTTGAAGGAAATGGGCTTCTCCCACTGTCTGGGAGATCCTGGTCTCTTCAGGACCAATGGCTGCAAACAGCTCACGGCTCCCATGGACAGCCATGCCCATGAGAACCCAGGGGCCTTCCTCAGTTTGGCATAGGAGGGGAGGTGCTGAGGTCACCTGCACAGTTGGAGCCAAGGCCAAGTGGGTCTGTTACCCTTTTATAGGGTCCTCTGCACCTTCCCTTGGTGTCTCCAAGGTCTAATCCAGAAATACTGCTTATTTCTATTGAAGCCCCATACCAAGAATTCCAGTCCCAATCTCTCTAGGATTTAGTTGCCCAACACTGCCTTTCTCCAAGAATCAAGATGCTTAGGCCCCTGTACCTCACATCTATCCTCCTGCCCTTCAGCATAGAGGATACAGGTCTCAGGGGGCAGAATGCCCTGATAGATGCAGCGACAGAGTCGTGATGTCAAGATGGAGACAGCAGCAGCTACAGGAACTAGAGAGAGGACAGAGTTGTTCCAGGGTTCTAGCCTCAGGTCACTCCTCATTCCCTTGACCCAGGGTGCTCACCTTGGTTCTGGAGGTCCTTCTAGCCCAGCACCCAGCAGCTGGCCTGTGGGGGGGGGCACTCCCTAGGTATAGGCAGATGGGCAGGGCTGATGGGGAGGGCTCAACTCGAGAGCTCAGCTCCAGGAGGACCAAGGGGGGCCTGAGTCCCAAGTGTCGGGGCAGGCGGATGCTGATGACCGACTGAGATGCTGGCCGGCCCTGTGGGAATGGGCTGGCCCCTACCCGGCCCAGATACACATCAATGTAAGGCACTGTTGTAGAGCCCAGCCTGTTGGAACAAGAACCAACATCATCTATTTCTCTCATTGCTGGTAAAGTCCTTCCTAGCACAAGAGAAAAGGATAGACTAGGTCTCTAGAGTCATCTACTAATTGCTTCATGATTGTTGTCTGACTCAAAAGATCTCACACAAAAAACCCAAACCAAACCAAAACATCAGAACAAAAATATTCCACAGTGGTTTCCCTGTGCTATATGAGCCCCCAAAGGGATAACATCCTACTATTGAAAGAGTCCTTTGAATCACCACCCAACTTTCCCCACCTTGCCTCTTGCAAGGAGACCCACCTGAGAATACAGTGTGTGGCCGACAGGACCCAGCCCAGGGCCACGAGGATCCCAGTACAGACTTGATCACCAGACACATACTTCTCTGCCAGCCAGGGCCACAACACACCGGCTGGAGTGGTCTTTGGTCTTAGGCCACAGGCTGGAGAGGGGAGGTGGCCATCTCAATGGGAACTCTGTAGCTGCCCCCTGAAGGCCTTCCCATGGATCTACATATCCCCAGGAACTCTGAAAGCCTCAAAGACCCCTGCTCACCACCACACTCACTGTGTGAGGGGCAAGTCTGTGTCTCAGTCTCCTCCCCCTCAGGGCCCCAGTCCCAGGCTAGCTGGTTTTCCAGCTAAGTGCCCCGAGTCACATGGCTGATCCATGGGCTGTGGGTTTGCAGCGGGGAGAAGGCTCGGGGACAGAGGCAGTTGCTTGAGAAGTCTCTGATTCCAGTCAGGAACCATGTCCCCTCTTCCCGACACAGAAGGCTCCAACTGGAATCATTCTGCTGCAAAACAGTGTTACTAGCATGAGCGCTGGTTGCAGGTGTACAGAGCATCAGCTCTTCCTGGGCTTTCCTGGAATCCAGATTCTCCCTAGAAGACAAATCAAATCCCCTGCAAACCAAGTTCCAATATTAATTTGTGGAAGACTGTAAGCCTGGGGATAGAGACAAACTGCAACATCTGTTCAGAACCCACCTCAGCCCCCTCAAAATGGCCAAGCTTGGGGCTGAGGAGGTGGCTCAGTTGCTAAACTGCTTGCCTCACAAGGACCTGGGTTCTGAACCCCAGCACTCACAAAAGAGGGCCGGGAGAGGAGATGGCTCAGTGGTTAAGAGCACTGGCTACTTTTGCTGAGGACCTGGGTTTGGTTTCCAGCACCCACATAGTAGCTAACAACTGTCCCTAACTCCAGTTCCAGGGGATCCGATGCCCTTTTCTGATCTCTGTGGCCACTGCACAACACCGGTGCACTTACATGCAGACAACACACTCATACACATAAAATAA